ATTTAACTCCAATTTTTGATTCACTTGTGACTCAACTCTAGTCCAATTTGATTTAACCATGAAAATTATTTTTTTTGTCTAAGTCAAGCCGTTAACGACTCCAATTGACAATTTGACTATTTGACTGTTTAGTTTTGTCCAATTTTTAAATCATTAGAGCCATCTGTATATATTTTTTAAAATGCCACATGCTATTATGCCGGAGCTAAAGTGAAACACATTAACACACTAATAGTTAACATTGATTGAAGTGTAAAATTACACTTTTTTAAAAAAATTTAGGATGATATTATTAAAAAAAATTAGAATACCACGTGCCTCTCATAAAAAAGTTTTAAAGCATGTTTGTCTTTAGTCCTTTAAATAAAAGTAATATTAAAAAATGTAATTAATATCATGTCAAGTATTTTATGTTAATGAGCAAATAATTTTTTTGGAAGATGCTTTATAATAAAAATAAGAAAAAGAATATATAAGAGAGAATCAAGTCAAAATAAGATTTGAGTGTGTATTTGATTTTCAGTTTATCAAAAATCAATTTGATGAAAGCTCATTTAGTAAAAGTCAGTTATCGTAACGAAATTTATATTTAAATATATTTTTTTAAAAGTTAGTTTGACAAACTGAAAGTTATTTAAATTAATAAAAATTTATATTTTTAAAATGTACTTTTTAATATACAATGACAAAAAAGGATATTGATTTACAATAATATAATTTTTATTATACAAATATAATATATTAAAAAGTGTTTAAAAATGTGAAACAATTTTAAAATAACATAAATTTTAAAATGTTAAATATTAAGAATAAAAATATAAAATTTAATATTAAAAAAATTATGTAATAAATAATTAAACATTCATTATGATGGTTCTATAAACCCTTATTCCTATTTTCTCATATCACTTCTAGTCTCTTTGAGTTTTCATTGTAGCAATGGCCATTTTTGCTTTCTAATTTTGTTTTAAAGTTTGAAATGGTTTTGATGGTGTCATTTTTTTCTTTCCTCGTGCCGTTTTTTTATTGGGATTAGAGTTTTGTTGTTGTATTATTTCTCTTATTTATATTTTGTTAGTTGTACCTATTTGTTTTTGTAAATCCTATAGTTTTCAATGATATTTCATGTTTCTAAAAAAAGAAAAATTGACACAAAATTATTATTATTAATACGCTTAAAAGTTAAAAATATAAATTCATGGCACTACTTATAAATACTTTATTGGCAAATTACCCAAAAAAAAGTATAAATAGGTATAATTCATCCCATCCATTAAATTCTAAGCAATTCAAGTGAAGTCTCATAATTAATTTTTATACATATTAATTAATTTTGAGAGACATAACATAGGAAAATAATTTTACAGTTTTTTTTATCACATGTGTCCTTTTATTAAAAACAATTTTATTTGAGACATAATCAAATACTAGATATAAGCAAGTAGAGATTTAAATTTTAATTGATCATATTAAATTGTACGAAACATTTTGGGGTGAATGGACAGGATCATCCAATGAAATCATATTACAAAATTTGATGCTACCTAAGCTAGTTATGTCAGCGAACAATTCATAGATGATGTGAAGTAAACAATAGTGAACTAGCATAATATTACAAAAAGCGTAATATATTTGCTTGCAAATAAGAAAGCAAGTGCTAATAAGACGGTATTAACAAATAAAAAAAAAAAGCAAGTTCATCATTTTTGTGAGATGCACTTGGCGTCCTGTTAACAAAAGCGGTAATAAGAAAGAGGGTGTAACTTCTGCAACTTTGCTAGTAATTAACAGCGCAAACTACTTACACCAAGGCTTCCTGTACATAATGTACAAATAACTCCGACCAACCAAGTTGAGATACATCAAGTACAGCTACCTAATCCGGATGAAGAGTGATTAATATCAACCTGAAATGCAAGTGAAAAGGTGAAAATCAGTTATGTGAACTTTACAGGGAGGCTTATGGGTCCAGACCTTCAAGAAGAAAGGCCAGGTTCCATTGCCCGCAAGATTGGACCAGTGTCAAATCTGAAGTTCCTAAAGCTCTTGCCAGGCCCCGTGTCAACAGTGTGAGAATCAGGCTCAGGTATTACTGGTTGGCTGTCCATTGTCATTTGAGCTACTTCCATTGGAACTGTTCTTCGCTTTCCAGGTGCAAATTCCTTTGACAAAAAGCAGTAGCTTTTAGTAATCACCCACTGGTAAGTACTGGACATAAAGATCAGGGAACAATCTACTATGATATATGGTGCAAGAATCTCACTCTAATAAAATCTTAATAGCCAAAGGTGGGAGAATCTCTAGCATGAAGAAAGAATTATTTATTTCTCATTGTGACTAACCTTTGAGTCTGCTAGTCTATTTATAATGCTGAACATCACTTAAAAATAATTATTAAAAATCAGCAAGATCTCCAAATATCTCTTAACTAACACATAGAAACAGAATTGAACCTTGGTGAACCCCTCCAACGGTCATAAAGGTCCAACTGTTTAGCTAACAGACTCAAAGAATGAACATAAACAATTCAGCACCTAACAATCAGCAAATAAAAAAGATGGTCTGCGAAGAAGATGGTCACCACTAAACAGAGGCTTTGCAAGTACACACGAAACCCACCACATTATGCTTCATTCTCATCTATTAATGCAAAACAGAGGACCAACATTTCCAGATCTAACAAAAAACACTTGGAGGTTATCATACCTTGCAAATTGAAGAGTAGATACGAGAGGAGGTTGTATTTTGACGAGCTAGTTTGAAAGTTCAATTTTGCACTCGACAGGTTGCAAATCTAGGTGTCTTAAGTTCTCTCAGCTACGCAATGTCGTCCAATTCCAAAAATGAGCTCGATCCGTGAAAGATTCAATGTGAAAATGAAGAAATGAGGCACTGGAATGGCGGCGACCGATGACGAAGGAAGAGATGAGGAGCTTGGAGAAGGAAGAAATGGAGGGACTTAGAATTTGTGACTAGATGGCAGAGGAGAGATGGAGGAGAGAAGAAGGAGAGCCGGTGGGAAGAAGGAAAAAATAATGAGGATATCATGGTCAACTACAATATTGGGTACCAGTCATTAAATGCTTGCATGCCACATTTATGCTTGAAAAGCTATAAAAAGGAGCTTCTCATTTTTTCCGTTTTAGGCTCATTTGAAAGTTTTTTTTTTTTTAAAGCACATCTCGTTTGATAAAAAACACCTCAAACAACATTCTACGTGTGCGTTTGGTTTTCAGTTTGCCAAAAGTTCATTTGGTGAAAGTTCATTTGGAGAAAGTTAGTTTAATGAAAGTCAGTTGTTGTAACGAAATTTGTGTTTGGATATATTTTTTCAAAAGTCAGTTTGATACATTGAAAGTTGTTTGGTTTGTGATAGTGAAATGTGTTTTTGAATGTACAATTACCAAAAAGGACATTGATTTATAATGATTTATAATTTTTATTATATAAATATAATATATTCAAAATATTTAAAAAATATAATAAAGATTATAAATAACATAAATTTTGATCTATAATGCTAAAAATTTGATCTCTAATTATTTGTATTTTTTAATTTGTAATTTTAAAAGATGTAATAAAGATTTGTAATTTTTATTATACATTAATGCTAAAAATTAACATGATTAATTACTTAATTTATAATACTAAAAAAATTGATACCTAATTATTATTATTAAAATAATAATTATATTTTTAATGAATTAACTATTTTTTAAATAAAAAATAAGAGATTAAACTTAGGGTAGTATGGTCAAATAACATCCTACTTTTCAAATCCACTTTTCAAAAGCTTCAGACAGTTACGTTTCAGAAATCCACTTTCAGCTACTGTTTGAATGTACTTTCAGGATGTGCTTTTCTGCCAAATATTTTACCCAAATAACTTTTAACTTTTTGAAAGTAAAATTTTGCTTTCTGAACGTGAAACGGAGGAAAACCAAACGCACCCTACATCCCAAAGTTAACAATTACATTTGGGATGTGAAGTGTGCTGTACCCAAATGCACTATGAATCTTAAGCAAAGAGGTGTTAATGTTAAATATTTGATCATATTTCAAGCTGAAACACACTAGTGTTTAATAAAAAAAAATCAAGTCAAAATTTACACGAAATCACAAATGACGGGATTGCCAATCACATATACTCAATTTTTATGCTTGAACAATGAAATTTGGTTTCCTTTTTTTCCTAAAAGAAAAATACTACTAGGAAACGGGGGAAAAAAGCCAAGGAAATGAGAAGGGAGAAATAATAAAGATAAATAAATAGAAGGATATGTATAGTTGAGTTAATATTTTTTTTGAAGACAGTATTTTTGTTGAACATGACACATTAATTGTTATATATAAATAATAATGTTGGTAATGTTTTTCAAAATATTAATTTATTTAATAATTCATAATCATAATATTCAAGAGAATTAATATAATCGTTGCATGATTGATGCTTAATTATTGCAGTAAATAAGTTAAAATAGTTTAAATATTATTTTATATTTAATAAGATTTAATTATAATTAGCATATCATATCACAACCAAACAACATAGTATGTTTTTAAAAAATACAGTATAATTACTCTTTTTTTTAATAAAAAGTACTATCTTTGTTAACACCGAACACCAATTGTAATTTGTATGGGCCTGTGTAATTTGTGGATGCACCCTTCCATTTCAAATTATAAAAAAAACATTAGAGAATTTTTTTATTTCAAAATATTTGACAATTTAAGAAAATTAAAATTTCATTAATAATACTTGTTTAATATTATTTTTTAAATAAAAATAAAATTGAAATGATATTATCATATAATAATTAATTATTTATGGATAACTTTAAAAACTTAAAGTTTTGAACTTTTGATTTGAAAAAATAAATTGATAAAATTTTATTATTATATTCTATTAATATGAGTAACCTTTTATTATTGATCCACCAATAAAGCCGTTTTATATCTCACGTACAGCCTCCCAGCCTCTTGCGAGACTCGTAATCGGCTAAGAAGCCAGAACCATGAATCTCTCTGATAAGAAACGTAGATGACCTATGTCTATGTGGGTTCTCTGGATCCACTCAATTTCCCTCGCACTCAGATTCTGACACACGTGTGATTTCTCTATACAGAACTGCCTTCAATACGAACTAGCCTTTCAGCCTTCGTCCTTTCTTTGTTTTTCTTCATAGCCTCTGAAGATAGTGGTATTCTTCTTCCTTTGCCGCTTTCTGCTGATCAGTTTAAAGACAAATTTAGCTTATTTTCCATCTGGGTTCTTGATTTGAAAGTGAAACTCGCTGCTTTTTGTTTCTGGGTCTGACTTAACGATCCAGAGCCTGGATTTTGCTGCCAAAATCTGGCTTGCTTGTGGGTGCTCTTCCAATGCTTCATTCGAGCGCTGTTCTGTGAGAAATTATTCCGAGGTGAATTCTAGAGTTTGGGCCAGAGGCTATGGAGCTCGTAAATCCGCTTGCTGTAGGCGGGGTAACACTCAATGTCGAGTTTCTTCGATGAAGACGGTGGAGCCTGAGCCCGCGGTAAATGGTATAAGATTTATAAATAAACTTGGTTCATATTGATGGTTCCAATAAGCACAGCTATTAGTAACAGCAGCGAAACTGAACATTGAGAATTTTGGTCATAGGGAGAACTAAATATAGTCAAGACCTTTCAACAGGATTGGACTTGAAGAATTTCTCAGAAACCCCCATTTCTCCTGCCAAATTGTTTGAGGTGGTTGCTGATGACCTACTAACTCTCAACAAAAACCTCAAGTCGGTGAGCAAATTTTCCTGTAGATCTCCTGCTGTATGCTCCTGTTATTGTTGATGAGATTATGTAATTGTGTTAATAGTTCCAAGTTTACAACGTGGATGATCCTGTCAGATGTTGCTAAGACTTGATCATTGTCAATGATGATGTGCCTGCTTGTTTATGTTTTCCTTTTATTTTATAAACAGTATGCTGTAGAACTTTACTTTATCTAAAGAAGATGCTTTGTCTGGTAGATTGTTGGTGCAGAAAATCCTGTTTTGATGTCTGCAGCCGAACAGATCTTTAGTGCCGGTGGGAAGAGGATGAGACCAGCTCTGGTTTTCTTGGTTTCAAGAGCCACAGGAGAACTAGTTGGAATGAAGTAAGTAAGGAATGTTCTATATCTCTTTGTGCCTATGCTGAAAGTGATTTGCACTGTATGGTGATTAAAGCAGCAAGCTTCATTTGAACATGGTTCCAGGGAACTTACCATGAAGCATCGGCGATTAGCAGAAATAATTGAAATGATTCATACTGCCAGTTTGATACATGATGATGTATTAGATGAGAGCAACCTACGAAGAGGTAGGCCTGTAAGCCTTCTGTGTAAGCAAGAATGTAATTTGCACGAATACCTTGAAGTACTACAAAGGAGTTTTATTCATATATTGAGGTTACTGTGGTTGCTAACCTGAGGCACTTATTTTAAAGTCTATTTATCAGGAGTTTCTTTAAAATCTTATATTATTTTACCGAAGTGGTGAGGGTTAGGCATTTGTTGCAGTAAAATTCTTTAATATGTTCCCCAGCATTAGAAGTCTAAACAAAAAGGAATTTCCCCCCATATCATAAGAGCTTGTCTGCATTTAAAATAAGGTAAAATAATTTAAAAATTGAACTAAATTCTGATGCCCAGAGGGTTAAAGAGTGTCACACTAGAAGTTCCTCTATGTTTGTCAAGTTTTGGAGGAGAATAAAACTTCATTCCATGTATTTCAGTTTAACTCTCTTTTGTCTGATGAGCTAATCTCTGCCCAAGTCCTTTCCACTCTCTCTTGAAAGAAAAGAAATTGATCGTGACACCTTAAGTCTGTACCTTCAGAAAATCAATTATTATTAGTTACTCAGTTTGTATGTCAGCTCCTGCGCATACTTTTTATAATTGATTGCTATTGTCAATCTATGGAATAGAACTGAGAACTGTTAGGGAACATGTTTCTATCTACATTTATGTGCTCTTAAATATGTTTTTGGTGCCCAAAATACGTCTGTTTGTGTAGATATTCTTACGTGTTAAGCCAAACTTTAAATCTGTAAAGGTATAGGGACATGAAAGCTCCAGGAAGTTGATGGGGAAATAAGCTTTTTGTAAAGTTTGTTAATTTGTTTCGTGAACTGCATTTTCCTTTATTGTCTTGAATTGGAGATACTGAAGATTTCAATTAAGCTGAATGCAACATGGGCTTATTGGCTTGATAGTACTAACAACATTTCTTTGAGTTTATTGTGTGTCAGTTTATCTTGTAAACTACTTTTTCAGTTCTTCTACATTTACCCCTCTGATGGGTTGTGTATTTGTAGGGAAGGAAACTGTTCATCAACTGTACGGGACAAGAGTGGCAGTTCTGGCTGGAGATTTCATGTTTGCTCAATCTTCCTGGTATCTCGCTAACCTCGAAAACCTTGAGGTTATTAAACTTATCAGCCAAGTAAGTTCCATCATCATACCTACCCAAAATGTCTTCAACTTGCATTCTAAAATCATCATAACTCTGGTATATGTCCTAACAGGTGATTAAAGATTTTGCCAGTGGTGAAATAAAGCAAGCCTCTAGCTTGTTTGATTGTGAGCTACAACTAGAAGAATATCTTATCAAGAGCTATTACAAAACGGCTTCCTTGATCGCTGCCAGTACAAAAGGTGCTGCGATATTTAGTGGTGCTGACAGCAGCATCACTGAGAAAATGTATGAATATGGTAGAAATCTTGGCCTGTCCTTCCAAATTGTGGATGATATATTGGATTTCACACAAACTTCAGAGCAACTGGGAAAGCCTGCAGCCAGTGACCTTGCCAAAGGCAACCTGACCGCACCCGTGATCTTTGCTTTGGAGAGAGAACAAAAGCTGAGGGATATCATTGAGTCCGAATTCAGCGAGACCGGTTCCTTCAATGAGGCCATTGCCTTGGTTAAGAGCTCTGGTGGCATCGAAAGAGCTCAAGAGCTGGCAAAAGAAAAAGCTGATATCGCGATTCAAAACATCCAGTGCCTTCCTCAGAGCACATACCGTTTAGCTCTGGAGAATATGGTGGCGTATAATCTTCAAAGAATTGCATAAGCCTGTGGTATGGCGAAACACGGACTGTTAAAAGCATTGTTGTGTGGTAATGCACAAGAGAAAAAAGCTTCAAGAATTTTCCAGCAAATATGTCAAGCCTTTCCTGATACAGAGGTAGTACTAGTAATATATACGTAGTTGGAGATAGTAAGCAACCACACCTCCTCATCACATTGTATATTTTGCAGCTTCCTGCTATTTAAGTTGCCAGGAAAATAAGATAATCCCATTGTTGTATCATAACACTACTTACTGCATTATATTCTTTTCCAAATTTTTCTTTATTTGGATCTAGAAAGAAAAAGACTTAAGAAATACCTTGGTTTGCTATCCTTTATTATTTTCTGGGGATGGCATGCAACAATCATGGTGTGCTCAAGTTCAAGGTAAGATTGTAAATTCTGCAGATCATATCACAAGTGGCATATATAGCAGAGGTTATGTTTGTACTGCATAAAGTAAGTGTAAACCCAGAATTTTATTTCGAAATTGAAGTGGGAAATTGTTTTTGTGAAGCAAATCATTATGCACTCAAAATCATTAATTACCATTATTCGTTATAAGATGGATTTGAAGATTCACTGGTAATGTATAAGAGAAGAAAATAGAGGTCAAATGAGATCTATTTGCGTTTCATGCTCTCTCTTCCTCTTCCATTGTTAGTCTTCATAGCGCGGCTCTGCAAGTAAGGAAGGGCAATTTTCGTTGATATCTAAAAAGAAAAAACTTTTATACTTTAGATATTTAAAAGGTTTGTTTGTTTTATCCATTTTATAACGAATTCTTGTAATTAAGTATATTAGCATATAAATTTAAGTACCTAAATATTTTCCTATTTAAAACTTTATATATCTTCTTGCCACCAAAACAAATGCTATGTAAAATGGAAATGAATGAATATAGTTATTTTATTATTTATAGTTTTTAATAATAAATTTGTTTTCTCAAATTTCATATAATAATTTTAAATTTTTGTACAAATAAACTAGGCGCAGGTTAATTTTGAGTTGTGACTCGTGCTTGTAATATTAAAAAAAAAACACAAATTTTTGGAGTGAAAAAGCGCATGAATAGGTTATAAAATACTGGCCCTCTTGATTTCATTCTTGGTTGAAGAAAATTCGTGTAATACTATAATCACAATCATCTCACATGGCAACGGCGAGTATGGCAAATTCAAACTTGGTCTCTTTCCATTTCCCTTTTCTCCACTTCTTCTTTATCTTTTATTTTAATTATTAAATTTATTTTTGAATGGTTGATATTTACTATTCAGTGTTTCATAATATTATTATCGAAATGTAAAATTTATAAATAAATAAATAAATAAATTTAAAATATTACTAATTTCATCTGATTATAATTCAAAATTTACGATTATAATTAAATAAAAAAATTAATTTAAATGAAATATGAAATCTCAACTAAATCATGATTCGATGATTAAGACGAGAAGCGAAGAGGAAATGGAAAATGGGGAAGTGAAGGGGTCCAGCAAATTCGCAATTGGAGGCTGTAGTTTCGGTCTGGTGAGTGGTCCCAGTTTCAGGTTTATATGTTGATACTGCAGCTCGAAGGCTACAGCGAAAGATGGGATTGCTGAGTTACATAGCACAATGGAGAGGGATCATGAAGGAAGTGGTGGATCGCTCAGCGATTACAGTGAAGTTCCTCTGCCTCCTCCACGTTACCAACAACTATCTTTGCTCCCCTACTCACGTAAACTCCCTCAAATCGAATGTCGACCTTTTTTTTTTTTTTTTAACTTTATCCAATTGATTCAACTGCAGTACTCTGTCGGTGCAGGTGTATGGGCCTAGCATGCTCCCCACCATGAATCTCACCGGTGACGTGCTACTCACCGAGCACGTGTCTCCTCGAATGGGGAAGCTTGGGCCTGGAGATTTGGTGCTGGTTCGCTCTCCCTTGAACCCTAATCGGACTTTGACCAAGCGCATTGTGGGCATGGAAGGGGATAGGATCACTTACTTTGATCCTAGGCACGGTGATGTAGCTCAAACTGCTGTGGTGGGCATGCTTTGTAGTTCACTCCCCGCTGCCTTTTATATTTTCGCGAACTTTTCCTTTTCTTGTTTTTTAATAATTTACTGAAGCTATGTGCCCTGAAATGTTTTTGGTTGATGATTGTGAATTATACCTACTTGATAGCTCTCTCTGTTGTAATTATTGGTTTATGTTAATTCGTTATGTTAATTAATTTCACTAGGCTTAGTGTTCGGATGAAAACCCTTGTTTACAAGCGTCTCTGATCAAATTGGTTGACGTGATGATATCTTTCATTTGAAGTATCGCCATTACAAAATTAAATTCTGATTCCATTGTTACTTTTCTTTCGTGTACTGTGAGCTGTTATTTTGTTCGGAGTATCATTTGAAGCCAATTCCTTGTGCTGAATCATAGCAGACTACAATCACAAATCAACTTGTTTGGCGCCTTTGCTATTCGTTACCCACTTTTAAATTTATAATTAAAAGGTTGCTTGTTTTGATGCCATGATTTCTTGTATTGTTTTTTATCACCATTTTTTTTTTTTTGCCTGCTGCTGCTTTTTTTCTGCTCGTTTCATAATGCTTACTTGTCAGGTGCCGAAGGGGCATGTTTGGATTCAAGGGGATAACTTCTATGCCTCCCGTGATTCACGGCATTATGGTCCTATTCCATATGGTCTCATTCAAGGAAAAATCTTTTTTAGGGTAAGTGATGTGTTTCTCGATATACTGTTCTATTTTTGAAGGTTTGTTATATGATATTTCTCTTCTCTTGACTTTTGAGTTTTCAAGGGGCTTCGTTTTGCAAAATCCTTTTCTTTTGGCTTGGTGTGGTCACATTCATTATAATATAGAAGTGAAGTAGGCTTTTGATAATACTGCTATTTTCATGTACCATACTTTATTTTAATACTGAGATTGTTCTAGTGATTGCAGTCACTTGTGGATTTAAGAGTCAAATTTTAGTATTTTGTGACTTTTAATCTAGGTTCTGTGACAAAAGTTGCTTAGTATAATTTCTTCTCATAGGCTTCTTTCATGTTGGTTAACTACTTGAGATGTGCAGTATTTACTTTTTCTCCCAGGGGCATGACTCTTATGCTAATGATTTTTATAAACTTCTATGGTGTTGTTAGGTTTGGCCACCTGATTGTTTTGGAAAGCTGGATTATTGATTGTATTGAAGATGACACGAGGTATTGTGCGTTCAATTCTCCATACTCGAATTGTCTGCATTAGTCTTCTGATTGAAACATTTATATTGGGCTAGATATATAATAAACCCTCAACCATAGTTATTAGTATTGAATAGTTTGCTGTATAGCTTGAAGCCTCAATGTTATGGCCCTTGGGCACTATGCTAGATGCGTGGCTGGGCAACTCATATAGCTCTGCTAAAGCTGCCTCACAAGGTCTAATTTTGTGCAGTTGTGTCACATGCTATAGGCACAAAATGTTAGTGGATCGACAATAGTCCAAATTTAAATGATTTTGCTATGGCTTCTGCTGGAGATTCACTTGACCCAGCCTTGGATGATGACAATCAATATTGAATGATTTAGTATTCATTAACCATGTCAAGAGCATGAGAAGGGGGTAACGGCAGCATTCTCTGCATGCTCTTGATATGCTTGATGCTTGATAATAGAAATTTTAGAAGATGAATAGGAGTTGAGGGATTGCTTAGCGATGATCCTGATGATGGTGTTGCATTGATGGAGAAGAGGAATTGGTTTATCTATCTTGGGATAAATGTTAGACTCAAACATTGATGAATTTTATGATTTGAGTGCAATGATCTATGGATGATCATTATATTTATATGAAGCTTTTCTTTTTCTATAACGTGAGTTTGGTTTTCTCTATATATATTGGTTAAAATTTCTTTCTTTCTTCATCTTTTTTTTTTTTGGTGCCAATAATTGCAGTTCTGAATGTGTTTTGAAGTCCTCTCCCCCGCTCATGTTTTATGGCATTGTGTTTATTGCAGAGTGATATGTTGTGAGTTGTTCTGAGCTATGAAGCATGGTTTGACAAAAAAATTTTCTTGCATCAGCAATTACGTCAAGTTGGTTCTGACTTCAGAAATACTTGCTGAAAGGCTAGTCTTGGAGAGAAATAAGGTCAGGGACCCTTGATTAATTTTTGGGCCGGAAGCTTAGAGATCTATTGATTGGCCTCAATGAAATTGGGGGAAGAATTGAAAAGTTACCTTTTTACGAGCTCATTATTATAGTAGAGGTGTAGAATGTTTGGCGAAAGGTTAAATATCTCATGTGATGTAAATGAATGAAGTGAAGGAGTGAGCATACAATGAAGTGGAGTCATAATCTGTGTGGACAGAAAAAAGAAAAAGACAGAGAAAAAGAAAAAGAAAAAGGAGGAGAGGTGACTGTTGAATAAACAAGGCGATTAGGGAGCACTGAACAATGTCAATTATGATTTTTAAAGAACAAAAATAAGAATGCTAATTTAAGTTAAGAAACATACACGAACCCTGATTATCCAATCCCATCAAATTGTAATTCAGGGAAAGAACGATTTATAAAAGAATTGTAAACTAAGCCAGTCATGAATAGCATGTAAATATGTCAGACTTGTTATATTGAAAAGTTTGTGATACACGTATTTTCAGAGGTTAATGCTTGATTTGTTGTCTTGCATTATTTCTAACTGGGCTCGGATGCTGATTCAGTGATGCTTTTTGAGAACAAGAGGAAACACTTAAAATCTCTTGGCAACAGTGGGTGCATGTTTCGTGGCCTCCGAGTAACCAACAATTTTATGCTGAACAACTGAATTGATGCGCTGCGTTTGATCAATGTGTATTTTGATTTTGGTACTCTCTATGGGCGTCAACACAGAATAGTTGCAGATTTTGTAAAAGGAGTTTACTTTGACAATTTGTTTCCCTTTCTTATGGACTGAGGCAAGATTTAATAATGAGCGTTTTAAGATTAAAAGGCATATATAATTCAAAGTTCATATCAATTATAGGAAATACATAATAGTATACCTATATAATGCTAATAATATTACAGGAAGCGGGTCTGTGATGTGATTCATTTTTTGTTGTACATATGAATCACGTGTTATAAGGAGAATGACAACTAAGGCCCTCAAATAAAAAAAAAAATACAAAAAGACAGTATACCTATAGTCTAATGTATTTTGAATTGATTTTGTAAGCCCAAAGCCCTTAAATGTAAATGTGATTTTTTTTTTTGAAAAAAGGTTCATTTGTCTGTCGGCTGAAGTGTATAAAATTTTTAAGTGTATATACAACAAAATATTTATATATAATATGACAAGGTCTCATACATTAACAATACAATATCAATAATGACAATAATGTGTTAGTTTCCTAAGTTTATGAACAATAAGATATTCATGTGATTTGCATGTAAGTCTTTCAGGCTTGTATAATAAATTTAAAATGTATAGAGCTTTAAGTGCTAATTTCTTTGATGTAGGGTTTTAAGTGCTATTCTCCTTATGCTATATATGTTATGTGTAACGCCTTTTTTTCCTGTGCAAAACCGGCCTATGATGAGAACCTGACCAAATGAACCAATAATAATTGGATGGAGTAAAAAAGAATTCACTATATTTAATTTGGTTGAAATTTATTTAAATGTACATATTCAGTTACGGATTATTTTTCAAGAACTACTGAGTATTTTATATTATAAGGTGGTGCAGAAAATTAACTACAGTAAATAAAGCATCTTGCCCCTCACGGTTTTTGGTTTTTCACAGGCACCGTTTATTTTAAAGCTTATGAGACACACCACAAACGTCCAGCACAGCTTTCATTTGCTTCACACACACACTCCCCCCCCCCCCCCAACATATTTCACCTACTCTATTGGCTCAGTGGTGACATGCTCATGATAATTGATGCCCCTCATTCTTCATCTCCGCCTCTCTTTCTCTCAGTCTCTCTCTCTCTCTCTATATATACCTCCCACAATCCTGTTCCTTCCCCCTCTCAATCAAAAATGGATCATCATCCTAAATTTGTGATTGAAGCTTCCGAAGCTAAATCCATGGTCAAATTCTCGCTGGCACCCCCATCTCCGTCGTCCCTTGCGGCCATTGCTAGTAATTCCTCTAAAAAATTCGTGGTTCGATGAGAAATCAGATTTCACTCCCTTACCCAAGTTTCTCTCTCACCAATTCGGACTCCTATACTCTTAGGGCCACGTCACAATGGGTTACATTTCTCCAGCCAAACCCATAATTCATCACCCACCCGCGGCGTCTATAATAACAATAATCCAGCGAAACCCTTTGTTATTGGAATTTGCTTCGTTTCTTTGGTTGCGATGGAAGTCTCTTATGATTGATCAGCCTTGTCTCACGTCCCGTGAACTTACCATTACAAGTGATCATGTGCTTGGTACCATTTGAGTTTTTGATATTGATAATAGCTACTGCTACCAGGATTGTTTCTTTGGTTAGTGGCATCATGACTGTTGCGGGGTTTGTTTGTTTGTTTGTTTTTTTTTCTCCTTTCTCATGAACATGTGCACGTCAAAGAACTGGATGAAGTTCAACGTTAACAAGGCTGATGAAGGTCATGTCGGTATGAAACTAGTGTTTAGTGATCTAATTAGGATTTATATCTGTGGGCATGATATTCATGCTAATTTCATCTTGCGTATGAATTGTGCTTCACACACACTCACGATGACAAGATCATGGGTTAGAGAGAGAATATGAAATTTTTGAAGAGAGACAGAGGGCGAAGTTATGCTGGACATCTGTGGTGGGCCCCCCCTAACCTTGAAAATAAACGACGCTTGTGAAAAATAAATGTGAGGTGTCGAATGATCTTTTTTTTTTTTTGGCACTACCTTGTAGTATGAGGTACCCATTAATTTTTTAAAAATAATTTATAATTAAATTTGCACATTGGCCCTAACTTTTATATGAATGAAAAATTTTAGGCTAAAAGAATTATTAGGCCTAAAAGAAACTATTGATTGCATTTTGTCACCTATCTTATGAAGCGTTAAACTATCGAGGGCAAATGATAATTAAAGATTTCATAAGATTATTAATTATAATTAAAAATTTTAAATTATTAAAATTTCAATAATAGACTATAGTTCTTACTTAAAATTAAAAAACATATATAAATTTATAGAATTGTCTTCGAGTATTAAAAATTATTATTATATGTTAGAACTATTGTCATTCTTAGTTAAAAAATTAGAATTCATATTTAGAAATGAGATTAATAATAGTGTCAATTTGTAATAGTAATTTTAATAGTTTCAACCCATAACATTTGGAATCCTGATTTTTTTAATTAAAGTTAATAATAGTTTCAATTTGCAATAGTAGTTTTAATAGTTTCAACCCATGACATTTGAAATCCTGACTTTTCAATTAAAATTAATAATAGTTTGAACATATGGTAGTAATTTTACTAGTACCTTTTCTTGATTTTTTAAGTAGCTTACCTATATATTGACAAATATAAAAATTCACAAGTATTTGATTTCATATTTAAAAATAATTTTAATAAACTTTCAAATGATTATGATATATTCATAAATACTTTTTGAAAGTTTTGTAAGTAAATTTTAATTTTATAGTGCGAAACAATGCATTTCTAAGTAAGGACCGTGAGTTTTCAACTAAAATTAATAATAGCTTTAATATATTATAATAATTTCAGTAATATCTTTTTTTTATTTTTTAAGTGAGAGCAATTTCTTATACTCATATATATTTTTAATTTTAAGAGAAAATTATAATTTACTATTGAGATTTTAATAATTTTAAATCTCTAATTGTAATTAATGGTCTTCTTAATTGTCATTTTCCCAGCTATCTATTTAGTTTTATCTACTTTTTTCCTTTTTTTTGGGGGCCAAATTGCACTCCACTTCCACGCCAGGTACAGTATCAAGCTGAAGCAGGAAAAAAAAAAAAAAAAACCAGAAACAACAACGGAAGGGAAAAAACAGGAAAGCGAGAAACAACGAAATAAAATAATGTCCCTTTGAGGACATTTGATAAAATTGGAATTTTATCTAATTATTTATTTTTATTAAAATAAAATATTAGGGGAAGAGAGATTTTTTCTATAAATTTTATTATATTCTACATATTGGTGCTTATTTAATAAGAATAAATAAATTATTTGTGTTCTATATTTGGTGTTTTTAAGTGTAATAAACTTGTTATTATTGTTATACTTCACGTTTGGTGTATACTGCATATAATATATTTTTTTAACAAGGTTAAATTTTAAAATAAATGATTAAATGAGATTTAAATTTAAAGTTTGGGAAAGGAGTGCAAAATAGTCATTAAACACTGACATGCCTATCCAATAAAAATAAGCGCATAACTAGTAAATGAAATTTAAGGATTGGGGAAGTGAGGGCAAAATAGACATTTGATACTGATTCCCTCTCTATAATTATCGCGGAAACCCTAGAACGCGTTCTCATGTGCCTTTGAGAGAACCGGGCGACCCAGCTCACCAATGTCGTCTGAGTTCCGTTGCGGGCATAAAGAAAACGCAACTCCTTTCTTCATCTTTGCAATCTGAATCCTCTGTTTCTGCTTTGCAATGACAGAAAGGTTCCGTACATTCTACTCTTCTCCCTTCTCATCCCTTTTTGTGATTAAACATTTATAAACATGTCTCCGGCCGTTCCAATGGGTTCTCAGCTGCACAATCTGTGTGTGAGGGCTCAATTTCACCCGGCCAATATCTGATTTTGGGGCGGCCTCAAGGTTTTACATGTTCTCTCTCATGTTTTAATTCAGGGAACCGCCCTAAATTTTTATCATATCTGATATCTATTTTTTTTTTAATCAGATCTGATGTCTATTTTATTTTTTACGTTTTAACTCAATGGCCATAGTTCTACAGACTCCACACACACCCCGCCCAAAAAAAAAACAAAGAGGAGAGAAGTTTGTCGACTTGGATCATAATGCAACGTGACGCTGATATCAGGCTAGGAATTGGGATATGGAACCTAAATATACCAACTTCGTCAAAGAAACCAAACATTTTTATCAGTTAAAGTGGAAAATGATATGAACAAAAGAAGTGAAGAACCATAAAATGATGCTGGTTTGATAAGTCAATAGATGGCCCAAATTGCGCGTCTATGGACAGTCCAATGGTACTATCTTCTAACACGTCAAAACACTTCGTTTTTGTTTAATTGTGTTTTGGCGCATCCATTGCATGTCCCGACATGCACCGGAGAGGCAAGGTTTTCTTGTATGACATCTTTGTGTGGATGATCTGCAAAGGTACAAAGCGTAAATGAATATGCTGAAGAGGAATGCCTATCTGGGTAGTTTATCCAATTGAATTTTAAACTGTCCACTGTAAGTTCAAGAATTGATATATTCAGCAACATAGTGCCTTAAGTGGTTAAGCCACTCCCTCTCCAACCAAAGCTTATCAGATTATGGATGGAGAATGGTGGACCATCTTTTGTCATCTGATAATTCTTTTCCCGATCCCACCCAAAGTAATCTCTGTTCAAAGTCAGGGTGCGACCTTGATTGTCCTAAATGCAAATCTGTGACTAAATGTATGCAAAATAGTATAAACGCAATTGAATTTCATAATTAAGGGTGTGGTGTATCTGTTATGGACCTTAAGTACAATATGATTAATATGGTAAACGTTTGCTAATCTACCATCATTAGAATTCGAGCCCAGGGTATAGTCTTCTGGATGGATGATGAACTGATTGAGCTGTGAATAATGAGGATAGCGGGGAAGCAAAGTTGCAACTTGTAAGCTTAGGCTAAGCAGAACGGATTGCGGGCATGTCACTACTGTGTTGTTGATGTTATTGTTGGGAGTCTCCTCCTAACACTTTAGGCCTCATTTGATATGAAGAATTAGAAAGATGGGACTAGCATTGACATTAGCTAATACTAGCTTTTTTTATGTTTGGTGTGAAGTATTAGGAAATTTAATTTCAATTCTAATCTCATCTACATGAATTACCCAATATCATCACCCTTATTATTGGAAAATCAATTTAGGATTGATTTTTTCCAAACCAAATTGCCTTTATCCTTACATCCTCTCTCCTGTCTCTTTGCCCCTGCCCCTAACCCCATCCCTCACCATTCTCTCACTTACTGAAGTTTACCATGGCCATCCCTAGTATCGATGTCATCCTCCACCATTGATTGGTTCGTCTTCTCCTCTTCTCCCTCTGTCTACCTCCTATTTGTTCTCCCTTCGTCTTCCACCATTAGCACCATTCTCCCTTCATCTTCCTCCCTTCTCCCTCTGTCTAACTCTCGTCGTCTTGCACCACTAGTTCAAGTCTCTTTGCCTTCTTGCCTTTAAATCTGCACTGAATAGGGTTGTTGCACTTGCCTTTAAATCTTTAAGATCCATCATAGACAAGAACTGTTGCTGCATTTGCTCCCAATTTCATATTGTTGAACAGGGTAATCAACAGCGGGGGGAGGTTGAGGTTGTGAGTGACAGAGAGAAAATGGGTTTTGGCAAATTTTTTTTATTAATTATGGGGGTATTGTACTTTTTTTATAATTTATGTTTAATTATAAAATAAAATAGAAGAAAGTATTTTTTGCAATTATTATTCCATACTAAACATATTTTGAAAATCTTAATTTCACTTTTAATCCCAATTCTTTTAAATTCAGGCCTACGTTCCAAACTGGATCTTAGTTCATAGGGATCTAGAAATTTTGTTGAAGCAATCTACACTCTAAAGTATGGAACTAATTATGCTGAAGCTATCAATCTACTTGCAGGAATACTTTGCTTTGCAGTCCGTACGAAGATGTCATCCGGAGCAGGACTGGAATGTCTATTCAAATTGTACTGCTGATCTAGCCAAAAAGGAATCACTCTTCTTCACCTTTTCTTTATGAGGTGGAGGATGATGAGGGATAGGTTATTGTTTAGTTTTTGTTTTGATCCGTTTTTAGTTCAAGTTTTTCTGCTTTTGTTCTGTATAACCTCTGTACTGACTTGATTGGATTGTTAAGCATTTATACATTTCAGTTTGCAATTAAAAAAAAAAAGATGAATGGGCAATTGCGTGCAGGTGTAATTGTAAACTGTATTCAACATTTCTGTCCTTGCAATCAGTAATCGGTTCTCCTTTGGAATCGCCCTGCGCTGCCAGTGTCATTCCAAATAAGTGTCATGTCGTTGGTGTTTTCACCCACGGCAATCACAGTTTACTGCCCTTCCCTAAAAATGGCCAACGTGGCAACGTCTCAAGTAATCCACTCTGTAAATGACGTTTAAACCACCAACAATATTAATTAAAATTAAATCAGTGATGTGACGTGTGAAACTAGCTTGCCATTGTTGATGACCCCTTTCCATCATTTTAAGTAAGAAATGGTCTCAATCAGAGATTAATCATGCAAGTCAATTCAGCTGCGTGAATGTAAACACAGTACAAATGATGTCTGGCTAAAGTAAATTCTGTATTGTATACATGCGTGTATATATATCCATTCCAGCAGCAAAACCTTCAAGCGACGTCTTTCCCAAGTAAATGCCACCTTATATCCATGCCAATGCCTATCTAGCTATCAATTATGCTTTCCAGCAGTTAAACACTCAGCTTATGTAAAATGATTTGAGCACCATACTGGGGCTTAAGAGTAATCTCATCCGTTGGAGCATGAACATATATTGGGGAAAGCTCAAACCAGAAGTGTTGCAGAATCATAGAGATAACCATCTTTGCTTCCAGCATGGCAAAGTTTTGCCCAATGCATATTCTTGGACCCCATCCAAATGGAAAGAACGAAACTTGCCCTTTCGTTGCCTTCAGAACACCATCTGAAAACCTCTCTGGCTTGAATTCCTTTGCATCATCACCCCACAATTCACATTCATGTTGAACCAAACCTATTGGTAAAGAAAGATGCACTCCTGTGGGTATTGTCAGGTGTCCAAGTTTCATATCCCTAGTAACAGTTCTAGTGAGCATAGCTACTGGCGGGTAAAGCCTCAAAACCTCGTACAAAATCATTGTCACCTGTGGCAAAACGAATTACCGCACGATTTTGTAGTAAAATTATAGCATGCAAATATTGTCTACATTGTGATTTCATGTTCTTTTTCTCTGGCACAACAAAACTTCATGTTATTGACCTTAAAAAAAAAATAATTCCTTCATATCATAATTTTATTATAAAGGAAACCATATAAGTACTTACAATCTTGAGGCGATTTAAGCCATCAAAGTCTGGTTTTTGGTAGCCAAATACTTGCAAGACTTCCTCCCTTGCACGTTTCTGCCAATCAGGGTACTTACTGAGCAACACCATAGTCCAAACAAGCAGAACAGATGTAGTTTCTTGCCCGGCAAAGTAGAAAAGCTTGCATTCCTCGATCACATCTTGAATAGTGATACCATCATCCTTGCTATTTCCTTGTTCTTGTATTTCCTTGCGGTTTGAATCCAAAAGTATGCCTAACAAATCATCCTTAGGGGCTTCCCCTGCCTCCATTGCTTTCTCTCTTTTGTTGATTATATCCATGAGTGAAGTTCGTATGTCTCTGTCATTTTTCTTCATCCTCTTACTCTCACTTGTAGGTAGAAACCTACAAATAAACAAACACTCTTGGTAATTATGATAACAAGAGAGAATGACTAGTCTGAGCGCTTGTTTTGGTGAACCTATATTATTGTTTGGCTTTCTAGGCTCTAGCCAAGCAAGAACGAGAGCTTTATGAATGTATTTTGTAACTGAGATACGCATGATACAGTTATTCTATTTGATATTTGATAAATTGGGAATTGTTATAGCAAAAGCGCTTTTAAATCTCAAGTGGAGATGTTGTCTGATGATTCGTTGTTTCTTATATGAAGTACTGGTAAACTTGCTTCAATTGACTGAAACTAATTTCATTGGCTAGATCCTGTTTTAGTCAGAATGGAAATGTGTATCATATCAACTGTGTATTCTTACCTATATCCCGGAATGAAAACTTTGAAGAAAAGTTTTATTGCAAGTTCAGCTTGCTCTTTTAGAAGTTCAAAAATTCTTTTTCCTTCTTCATAGCTACTTCCAAAAGCTGTCCTAGATATAACATCACAAGTCACGTTCTGAAGGAAAGGCCATACATCCATTTCGCACGAGCCGTCTGATGACAACATTTTCTCCCACGTGTAAACAAGATCACTGAAGCTCACATAAAATGTTGACAACATGATCTGTGGCAGAATAATACGATGGGAAGATTAAATTTTCAGCCTGTTAATAAGCAAATGAACATCCAGAGCAAGAGGTGGTGTCTATGAAGTATACATGTTTAAGAGCTTACTGAAGAGATAAAAAGAAAAGGAAACTTCCAAGTTGACACTACAAAAGCTTCAACCGCTCAAGGGAAAGTAAAGTGACCTTCAATTTTTCAACATTGAATGCCGGGTTGATAATCCTTCTGTGCTTAGCCCACTTGTCACCTTCATGGCTTGCAAGACCACTGGCTAGTAACTTCAAGAGTGGGTTCGGATAAGGTTTGGGGAAGTCGTAGACCTTGTTCATCATATCTTTGATTAGCACAGGATCTGTAATAACTATCCTCGGTTCTGGTCCAATCCACATGAAAGGGTTCTTTCCTGCGTACCATGTGTGTCATGATCACTTATAAGCGACACTTGAAGAAAGATTAAACAAGAATTGAAGCAAAAACGTTTCACCTGCAAAACCAGTCCAAACCTATCTTGTACAAAATTTCACAGCTGACTCTGAGCACCTCTATATCAATAGCAGAAGCTTACTAAACCACATACTTTACTGTCAGAGAATGTGCGAAATAAAAAGCATACCGTATTTGTTGACGATATGATTGAGAAAGGGGGAAACACGAGGGATGATATCGTGGGAAAGATTCATGGGTCTGGATTTGGCTTGCATACGCATGTTTAACATTTGGGTTGAATCCCCAGTAAGAAGCTTATAAGGAGTGCCTTGAAGGCCTTGCTTTCTGAGCAGCCTCTCCAGTTTCTTCGGCCTCAGCCACAGCAAATTCACCGCCTTCCATGCCCATACCAGAGCTAGAATCGCTACCGGGACATAGATTGCTATTACGGTCCTTGATGCTTCCATTTCTTGCAGTGAACAAGAAACTGGAGAGTGAACAGAGAACTCTTTTCGGCCATGGATTGTTAAGATGAGATGTTGATATGATAATGGTACTGGTGAGAAGCAGCAAATTCATAATTTTTTTTTTTTTTTGTGGTCAGAAAAAATCGCACCTATTTGAAGGGGATAAGTTTGACAATTGGTGCACTGTACAGCATAGTGGGCTTGAAAAAGATCTTTGACTCAAATTTGCTAGTCAATGACCCATAGCGAGAATGATCAAGTTTCCAAAGAGATTATGCCACAAGAAAATGATTGATAGAACCTTTAATGTTGATAATACATCAACAACTGGAGATGGCTCCCTAAAGTCCCAAATACGTCAGCAAAGACCCTTTTTGCAGAACAATCCACTAGTAGCTCAGTTGACTGGAGGGTGTTCAAGTTTAACAATGATTATGGTTTGATACCAATTACCAAAGATGATTTTTGCCATGGCTGAGGCAGTTAGCACTTAGCATGATAAAGTTAGTTACTTTCACCATAAGTTCAGCTGAGGATTCGATTCAACAAATTAGGAGTTATATATGTGTATGAGCATATCTATCACAAAAACAATAATGATTAATGAATCTGCTAGCTAATTTGCTAAATAAGTTTACGATATGTGCATTCACTCTTTTGTTTTTACTGATCATTTCTTAAAATGTGGATTGAATGTGATGGGCAGATGATTTAGATTTATTCTTAGTTGTAAATATTCCATTTTCATTCAAAAAATGAGAGATATAGTGGGATCCATCTCTTTCTTTTTTTGCAGCAGCACTGCTCGGTCCTTCAAAATAATTATTGAATTTTAAATTTTAAAAATTACCCTAAATGCAAAATAATTAATAATAATGGGATATATTTATATATTTTTATTTTTATATAATGTTAGTCTATTTTCTCAAAGATTTAACTAAGTCAATTGTTGGTTGTCAGTATGTATACGCATTGTCAATAAAAAAAAAGTATATATACACATTAAATTTCTTTTTTTCGTATTCATCATGTATTTTTTATTTTTAAAAAATATGTACTACGATTCATAATAACATTCGAAAAAAAAAAAGTAACTTTTCCGTATGTCAATAAGCGTCATTGATTAGCATTCCTTAAGGAAAAAATATAAATTTGTTCTTAAAAAAATTGGTTGATTGAAAAATAAAAAAATGGGCAAACTTTGTGTATCATTGGAAAGTCCAAAATTCTTGCTCCTTCTGTCCAAATTTCCAAATAGGCAAAATACCTATGGTCTTCAAAATAACGGGTCCATCATTTTCGGCAGATGAGGGAGTACCATCATATTTTATAAGTGCAATGAAATACGAGTTTTTCAGATTTTAAGTATTCAGTCTTATTTATAAATTATTTTTAATATATTTTATTAAAATTAAAGAAAATTTTAAATTTTATTAACTTTATTTTAAAATTTAATAAATTTTCACCTTTAGTCCTAACAAATATTTTTAAATTTTATCACTGATATTTTTATTCAAAGTATTTAATAAAGATAAAAATATAAAGAAGAGTATTGAAAATTGACAAATATTTTATAAATTGAACTAAATTTTTTTTTCTTTCTCTATCCTATAAATATGACTAAAGGAGTCTTATTTTATATTTATTATAATAAAATTTTATTAAATTATAATAAATTTTTTTATCATCAATTTGATTTAAATTTAATTTAAATAGTCTAATTTAATATTTAAATTTTTAAATATTGACTATCCAAATTTATTTTACATAGTCTAAATTTAAAAATTTTTACTTATAATTTTTTTAGAAAATTCCAGTTATATGTATATATTTCAATTGTAAATATTATCTTTATCAAAATAAAAATTATAAAAATTAATATTAAATCTAAATTCTGCAAAGTATACTTGAATAGTTAATATATAAGAATTATAAAAAAAATTAATATTAAATTAAATACTTTAAATTAAATTTGAATTATATTTACGATAAAAATTTAATATTTTTTGTAAATTTTTATTTTAGTAACTATAAAATAAAATTATAAATAATATTTTAAATTTGAATCATCCAGATACTGCAAACTGACGAACCCAAAAGTGCTGGTTGGGTTCGCAGGAAGACTAGGGAAGTTGGGTTGCACAAAAATCTATGGCAGCTTCGTTCAAACATTACGCTCTATAAGACGACATTCAAATCTCCATCAATATTAATCAAATTAAATTAGTCCTATGACGTGTGAAATGAAACTAGCCATTCACTGTTGATTAGTCTTCTCCATCATTTTAATAAAGAAATTGCCTCAATCAAAGATTGATCATGCCCGTCTCTATTCAGTTGTGCAAACTTGAATAGGGTACCTTCTTAAGACATCTCTGGTTTGAACTCCTTTGCATCATCACCCCACAGTTCAGAGTCATAGTGAATCAAACTTATCAGTAAAGAATGTATCGTCAGCTTCCAAGTTTAGAGCAGTTCTGGCGAGCACAGGAACTGGTGGGGTATAGTGGACTAATAATTGTCATCTGATGCCTGTTCTCCCAATCCCCCAAAAAGGAAGCTCTGTTCAAAGTTCAAACCTGAGGGAAACTTTACTGGTACAATTTGCAACACTGTGACTAAACTTCTGCAAAAGATGGTGTAAATTTAACCAAACTTCATTCAGGATGTGGTATATCTGTTATGGACCTTACGGTCAATATGATTGACATTGAAATGTTTGCGAGTTTACCATCATGATGAGAACTTGAGTCCAGAGTCTAGGCTTCTTGGATGGATGATAAACAACTAACTGATTGAGCAGAAGAAATGAAGGAGGAGAGAGAGCTAAGTTGTTTCAAGCTAGGCGCTACAGAGCTAACCCACACAACGTTCATTTTTTTCAAAAAGGTGCCGAAAAACTAGATTGATACAGTAAAATGGGCTAATGTAAATAAGCTGAGCGTGCAATTATATAAAGGTATAAACTGCATTGAATATCTTTTACTTGGCAATCAGTCTTTGATTCCCCTGTGAAGGAGAAAAATTTCAGCCCTCCAGCAGTAGCTGTCCTCTGCAAGAGTCTCGTGTCAAATATGCAATGTCATGGTTTTCATGTCGTCAACCCCCCACAACAATCACAATTAATTGCCCTTCCTTGAAGCAGGTTAACATCTCAAATAACTTCATTCTAAGAGAGAAATAGGCTCAAAAGAAATTAATCATGCACGTTAATTAAGCCGTGTGTACATAAACACATAATACAATTCAAACGAGGTCTTGCCTAAGTAAATACTATATATGCTTACATAAGACACATATACAAGTGCGCGCGCGCGCGCGCGTGTCCTACCCAGCAGCTAGACATTCACAGTTTATGTAAAATGATTTGAGCACCAAACTGGGGCCTAAGAGTAGCCACGTCCATTGGAGCATGAGCATATGTTGGGGAAAGCTCAAACCAGAAACGTTGTAGAATCATAGAGATAGCCATCTTTGCTTCCAGCATGGCAAAGTTTTTCCCAATGCATATTCTTGGACCCCATCCAAATGGAATGAACGAAGCCTGCCCCTTCGTTGCCTTTAGAACTCCTTCTGAAAACCTCTCTGGATTGAATTGCTTTGCATCGTCACCCCACAATTCACCATCATGGTGAAACAAACCTGTTGCTATAAAAAGACGCACTCCTGCAGGTGTTTTTAGGTGTCCAAGTTTTATATCCCTAGAAACACTTCTAGCAAGCAATAATACTGGTGGGTATAGCCTCAAGACCTCATATAAAATCATGGTCAACTACAGCAAAAAAAAAAAGTGAAAATAATAATAATAATAATAAAAGATAAATACAAGACTTGAGTTCTTCAAAAGTTCTCCAAAATTTAAACTGTCAGGTTTTGTAATAAAACTATAGCATGCAAATATTGTTTACAATACTGACTCTGAAAAGAACACTTCATGTCAAATTTTATTAGAAAATTCATGCTTCCATTACTATTTATTATAAAGGGTACCGTACAAGAACTTACAATCTTAAGGTGATTTTGGTTTTTGGTCGCCAAATACTCTCAAGACATCCTCCCTTGCACGTTTTTGCCAATCAGGGTACCTGCTGAGCAACACCATAGTCCAAACAAGCAGGACAGACGTAGTGTCTTGCCCCGCCAAGTAGAAAAGCTTGCATTCCTCAATCACATCTTGAATAAACATGCCATCATCCTTGTTATTTCCATGTTCTTCAATTTCCTTGTGATTTGACTCCAGAAGTATGATAACTCATCCTTAGGGGCTTCCCCTCCCTCCATTGCTTTCTCTCTCTTGTTGATTATACCCTTAAGTGAAGCTCGCATATCTCTTGTTTTTTTTTATCCTCTTAATCTCACTTGTAGGTAGAAACCTACAAATAAACAAGCGAGAATGACAAGAGGTCTCAAAAAAAATAATTAATCCAAATTAGATTCTAAATGTCAAATTTTAAAAATTTACAACTTAATTTTTGAATTTTACAATTCTATTATAATAAATTTGTAACTTATATTTTAAATTTTAACAGGGAAAATAATTTTTTTTTACTCTTCAATTATGTTAAAATTTAAAAAATAAGTTAAAAAATTAAGAAATTGTGTTACAAATTTTTAAAATTTAACACTTGAAACCTAATTTAAATTAATTAATCTTTTTAGGACTTTTTTGTCATTCTCTCAATAAATAACCACTCCTTGTAATTATGGTAAAAAGAAGGAACAATTTGTTTGTGTGATTGTTCTGTGGACAGGTATTGTTTCCTGGCTTTCTAACCAATTGCTAGAGCTTCATGAGTATAACGTAAATGAGATACAGCACGTTCCAATCATATTATTTCATAAATTGGGAATTTTTTTAGAGCAAAAGTTCTTTTAAATCTCAATTGTATATGTTGTCTGATAATCGTTGTCTCCTATATGATATACAAGTAATCTTGCTTCAATTGACTGATTTGGCTTGCATAAGCATATTAAACATTTGGGTTGAATCCCCAGTGAGAAGCTTATACGGGGTGCCTTGAAGGCCTCGCTGTCTAAGCAGCCTCTCCAGCTTCTTCGGCCTCAGCCACAGACGCTTCGCCATCTTCCACGCCCAAGATACTTGAAGAAGGAAGAGAGAATTTGAATGAAAAGAAAAAAAAAATTGTATGGAACTATTGATCACTCTAATTTTCTACGCATACTTTCCCTCTCAGTTGACTTGTTCTTACTTCGCTTTCACTTTCTTGACCATGCATCAAATTGTTTACAAAATAGTCTATGCGTGGGAGAGACTAACGTTGCGGCTCTTTGTCTGGGAGTTTGTTTGTTTTTTTTTTTTTTGAATGGGAGGTCATGAAAAAACTGTGTTAACTGATATGTTGAATTATATCAGCGTATAAAAAATTTCTACAATTTAAAGGCACGGTGTCAAAAATAAGTACATTAAAATTATTGTTAGAGGCTTGGTGGGTCAATCAGTTGAGAGTTTTTTAGAAATGGAATGGAATGGGTGATATTGCTAAAAATTGTATATTATTGTTTGGCTGAACAGTTTAAAAGCAAGTCTCCACCTTTATTTTTTTTTTTAATACCCCAATTCAAATTTTTTTTTTTACAAAATTGAACATATCAATGAAATTTATCAAATATGGTTTATAATTTTAAATGTGAGATTTTAAATTTTAAATTTAAATTCAAACCTGTTAATGCAAATATTATTTTAAAGAATTAAATCAATATAATTTTAAAAATATTTGCTTTTAAAAAATTTGTTTTTTCATTGGTTTAAAAAGCAAGCTCGCGGGCGATGATTTCAAATTCATGTGGGGTTAATAGCAGAAGATGATAGCCGGTGGTGTGTTCACGTGATGTGGATAGATTGGGAAGAGAATGCAACTTTAGACTAATTTTGCCAAAGGCTGACTTGTCTCAGTCTCCATTTGCCGATTTTCAAAGGAGATGAGATCATTCATTTGCCAAGAACGCCCTCTCAACCTGACATTGGCACGTTCACGCTGTTCAAAGGGTCGAATTGTGGTCAGAGGAAACGTGGGAAATCTTCTTACCTTTTGTCAAATATAATATGGGTTACTATTAATTCTACGGTAAAAATAATAGTAACAATAAGGTGTCATTATTATTCTATTGGTTATGGTGCATTTAATTTTTTTTTTATAAATATTATTATAGGATATGATTTAATTAATGTGTTGTGTGGGCTTGGGTTAGAAATTTGTTCTGAATTTTTAGTTTTAAATTAGCCCAAACATTAAGGATATTGATTTTACCAAGATGGGAATGTGGTGAGTTCCCTCACATTTCTTTTTTAAGAAAATGTTTTCCCATTTTATTTATTATTTTTGAGCTTATGTTCTATTTGTTTAAGTCAATTGTATCTTTCACTTTCAATGGGTTTTTCACTCCAATACTTTTGTGCTAAGCTTTGTGATTTTGTTGGCTTTGCTTTCATTTTTGTTTTCCTTTTTATTCATGTTGTTTTATTGCTGTGTGCATTTTGTTACATTTCATTGCTGTCTCATGACATTAAATAATTCCTAAAAAATTTATTGGAATTGGTATCTTATAAAGTATGATCACAATCATAATGAATTAACATGTTAAAAAAAGAGGAAATTAGATTAAAGAAAATTAATTATAGAAAAAATTGATTAACATAATGTGATGCTGTCTAGATAATATTTTTTGAAACTGATCTTGACAAAAATGAAGATGTTTGGATTATGTTTCAAAATCAATTATAAATGTACAAAATACAATAAAAGACATTCATTTTATAATGTAACATTGATAAAATTAGTCTATGTGAAGGGGCAAAAGGTGAGAAAAATGCTCAAAAGTGAAAATCAATTCTCAAATGAGAAAAGAGAGTAACTTATGTCAAAATTGAGTTTAAAGGAATAAACAGAATTTGGGGAACTGGAAAAGATTGATTAGACCAATCCTCATTCATTTAGGAATCCAATCCTCTTGCTAGGTCTTGTGCCTGTGCCAAATGGGTCATCGTCATTCCCTCATCAGATGGGCCTCAAAATTTGATCTTTTTTCTCATATTATGTTATTATTAATTTATAATTATATGCATAATATTCAATTCATAAAAATTAGAGAGTGGTTAAACCTAAGATTTTGAATTCATAAAAATTCCAGTTCTATTTTAATCCATCTTACCAATGAAATTTAATTTCCACATAGCATAGGTTTTTGAATAAAATAAGATTGGCTACATATTATATAGTAAAAGATTACTTCTTATGACATAAAATAAACTACATGTAAGATTAGATTCTTCCAATGTGTCAAAATATTTAATATATTTCATTTATTCTTGTTTTAAAAAAAGCAAATAGAATCTGTTGGCATAAAATATTTATTATTTTTGAAAGGAATGGTCGGATAGCTTCATCTTTAAATTTAAAGAATTCTGAATTTTTAATTCTAGTCTTTCGCAAAGTAGAATGGACTCGTCTTCTTCTTTTTCTTTTTAATTTCTCTTGCCCAAAAGAAGGATGGATTTGTACTATATGCAAGCAAGGGCCACGGAGAAGAGATGTGGATCGAAAAGCTGGCCCCACATGTCCATGATTCATGCTCTTGATTTTAGATATTAAGCAGTCCCGTCCTTTTCATGGGACACGCCACTATACCTCTCTCCCTCACTGATCTGCCAAAATCTCGTTTGATTAGAGATAATCTGATGTTTTTAAATTTATATTTTGATATTTGATTCTTTTAAATTATTATTATTTTCATACTTTTTTAATAAATATTATTTTCTCCAATTCCTTTACTATAATTTTCTCTTATGATATAGGTTAGAAAAACAAATTCCTTTACTATAATTTCCCTCATGATAACGATATTTTTTATTTTAATAATATTAAAATATTAATATTTTAGTACTTAATATTTTAAATTTCTCTCATATTTACCAGTCCTATTTGTCAATTTATAAACCAATCTCTTATATTTATAAGTGAAACTACATGTTTTTGGCATATGCTCTTCACGTTCTATTTTTACATGGCATTTTTTTGGATTTTACATCCAACTGCCTTTGAACCAATTAAAATTTATAGAAATTATATTTAATGTTGAATTTTAGATTTAAAATCTCATAGTTAAAATTTATGTATTTAAATTTTTTTAGTTAGATAGCATAAAAAATTTTAAATGAAGAAGAAATGAGTGATAAGAAAAGAGGCAAGAATGACAAAAATACTAGCTGATGAAAATGTCAATAAAATGAATGGGTGGAGAGTTGAAGTGATTAAAATTTTAAACAATTAGAGTATAAAAAGACTTTAAAATTATAAAAATTTAGCCAAAAAATATCATGATAAGAAATAAATTTGGATATCCAAACCCATAATTTTTTTATGTATCCAGAGCGAGGATTTAAAAAAAAAAAAAAATTGGCTCAATCAAAGACTGCTGATGCAAGTCAATTCAACTGTGAAAAAGTACGGTAACAGAAAACAAACGCGGGGTCTTGCCCAAGTGAAAACCAGCTAGTTTACATCCATCTGTCTATCCATATATTCATTTATACATATTTTTAACATCAGTCCAACACTCAAAGTTTATGCAATATGATTTGAGCACCATACTGGGGCCTAAGAGTAATCACAGAAGTTGGAGCATGAGCATATGTTGGGGAAAGCTCAAACCAGAAGCGTTGTAGAATCAAAGACAGAGCCATCTTTGCTTCCAGCATGGCAAAGTTTTGCCCAATACATATTCTTGGACCCCATCCAAACGGAAAGAATGAAGCTTGCCCTTTTGTTGCCTTTAGAACTCCTTCTGAGAATCTCTCTGGTTTGAATTCCTTTGCATCATCACCCCACAGTTCACAGTCATGGTGAATCAAACCTATCGGTAAAGAAAGCTGCACTCCTGCAGGTATTGTCAGGTGTCCAAGTTTCATATCCTTAAGAGCAGTTCTAGCAAGCAAAAGTATCGGTGGGTATAGCCTCAGAACCTCATACAAAATCATGGTCACCTGGAGCAAAACGATCGCAATGTAAAGTGAAGTTCTTCAGAAGTTCACTATCAAGTTTTGTAAGAAAATCATAGAATGCAAATATTGTTTGATAGTTTCATATCATGTTATTGACTCTGAAAAAGAATCCTTCATGTCATAATTTTACTAGAAAATCTCCCAGCAAATATTTGCTTCCCTTGCTGTATGTTATAAAGAGAGCCATATAGGTACTTACAATCTTAAGATGATTTAAGCCATCAAAGTCTGGTTTTTGGTTCCCAAATACTTGCAAGACTTCCTCCCTTGCTTTTTTTTGCCAATCAGGGTATCTACTGAGCAACACCATTGTCCAGACTAGCAGAACAGATGTAGTCTCTTGCCCTGCAAAGTGGAAAAGCTTGCATTCCTCAATTACATCTTCAATAGTCATACCATCATCCTTGTTTCCACGTTCTTGAATTTCCTTGTGATTTGACTCCAAAAGTATGCCTAATAAATCATCCTTTGGGGCTTCACCTGCCTCCATTGATTTCTCTCTTTTGTTGATTATATCCTTAAGTGAAGCTCGTATATCTCTGTGATTTTTGTTCATCCTCCTATTAGCACCAGTTGGTAGAAACCTGGAAATAAAAAACTACTCTCGGCAATTATGCTGACTAGTCTGAGTGATTGTTCTGTCAAGTGATGGTATCATTTGTTTCTTATAAACAGGCCCAGTAATTTGTAACTGGCATGCTACATGTTCCAATTATATTATTTGACAAATTGGAATTGTTCAAAGCAAGATAGTTTTGAATCTCCATTGTACATCATGTCTGATAATTAGTTGTTTCATAATGTACAGGTTAGCTCACATCAATTGAATAAGACTAATTTCATGAACTTGATCCTATTAGTCAGAATAACTATGTATATCAGATCTACTGTGGATTCTTACCTGTATCCAGGAATATAGACTTTCAATAAAGCTTTCATTACAAGTTCACCTTGCTCCGTTAGAAGTTCAAATATTCTTTTTCCTTCTTTATAGCTACTTCCAAAAGCTGTTCGAGAAATAACATCACAAGTCACATTCTGAAGAAAAGGCCATACGTCCATTTCACAAGAGCCATGTAAGGACAACATTTTCTCCCACTCGTCAACCATGTTGTTGAAGCTTTCAAAGAATGTAGCCAACATGATCTGGGTGGCAGAATAATATGATGGGAAGATTAGATTTTCAGCCTCGCACCATGTGAACATCCAGAACAATAGCATGATGCTTAATTGCTTATACGGCAAAAAAATTGGTGTGGATAAAGTATATGTTCAAGTGCTTGTTAAGAGAATAAAAAGTAAAGAGCCACTAAAGGGAAAGTAAAAGTAACCTTCAATTTTTCTGCATTAAATGCAGGATTGATAATCCTTCTATGCTTAGTCCACTTCTCACCATCATAGTCTGCAAGACCCGCGGCTAGTAACCTGATCAGTGGATTCGAATGAGGTTTGGGGTAGTCATAAACCTTGCTCATTACTTCTTTGAATAGAACGGGATCTGAAATAATTATCCTTGGTATTGGTCCGATCCAAATGAAAGTGCTCTTTCCTGCATCCCATGTATGTCATCACTTATATGCGACATTTAAAGAAGGATTGAATTAAACTAGTAAACTAATGACATAAAAACAATAGAAGCGAAAACGTTTCATATGTGCTTATCGTATCGAAGCATGTACTGCATTAAAAAAAAATGAAGAAAGCTGACCTCAGGAAATGTGATATTCTGATAAGCATATAAACAGCGTGCGGAATCAATTTGAAAATGTTAATTCACTATATTGTAGTATGAAGGCATTTTCTTCAAAGGTTGCAGATGATATGAGTTACATTTCTTTGTGGAAAAGGCAATATCATATTCCTTTTCTCTGCCTTTTGTTTGAAAAGGCAAGCAGTGATATTTTCATCTTTTGTATAAGCTAAGAGGAATTATATGGTGAACATACAGAGAAGCAGCATTCCCTTTCAGGCCAACCTTAAAACATAATTTTTTTCCCTAGAAAGACTCCTCCCAAAAAAAGATTAAAAAATCCTAAGCGCTACATGCATGAAGGACTTCAGTCAACATTTAGGCATCCTATAACCTCATGGACCAATTCATTTCATGAGTGAAGAATTTTCTCAAACAGCTTCCAGAGTTTCCTGTGTTATTCTGGATTTATAACTAGTTCAGCATCAACTCACCCAGTTTTATTGGAACTCTGATAAATTAAAAACTTCAACGTATACTCTTTTGTTCGTTTTAACATAGTCAACATCACAAATTAAAAAAACTATATTCAAAAGAAACAAGGAAACCCAGAGGAAGACGTAGCAATTAATTTATTAATCATATAATAAAATATTTAACGGCATACAATAAGGTTTGACCTGCCAAACAATTCCACACAAATGTCATGCAAAATTCAACAGCTGACTCATAGAACCTCCTTCAAGAGTAAATTTAAGAGTATATTCAAAGCCCAGTATGCTCCAAAACGAAACGCGGCAAGAAGATAACGGCCCATAAGAAATCAACAGCAGAGGCTTAGAAAACCAAAAACTAGACTGGTTCGAACAAAATTCATGGCCAAGATATGATTGTGAGGAGTGGGAGAAGCGCAACATCAAAAAATTTTAAAAGCGTACCGTATTTGTTGACTATTTCATTGACAAAGGAGGAAGCACGAGGGATGATATCGTGGGAAAGATTCATGGGTTTGGATTTGGCTTGCATATGCATGTTAAACATTTGAGTTGAATCCCCAGTAAGAAGCGTATATGGATTGCCTTGAAGGCCTTGCTGTCTGAGCAGCCTCTCGAGCTTCTTCGGCCTCAGCCACAGCCAGTTCACCACCTTCCATGCCCACACCAGAACTAGAATCGCCGCCGGAACGCAGATTGCTATTGTGGCCTTTGATGCTTCCATTTCTAACGGTGAAGAAGGAGCACGAAGGAACTGAAGAGTGAACAGAGAAGACTTTGGCGGGACTGGGATTGGCAGACAGATGATGATGATGATGATGATGATGATGATGAATGTAAGGGGGGAAAAAACAAATAATCACCGTCTTCTACGAGCTTTCTTGCACCGTCAGCATTTTATAATGGTTCTCCGGATATACTCCTGTTTTATTTACTACTTTCTCCTCCTAATTTATAATACGTTTTTCTAAGGTGATTGAGTGTCTTAAATATAAGTAATTTTTTTATAATAATTCACATATCAATATAATTTTAATTTTTACAAAAATATAATTTATTTCTTCCTTTTACTCTCAATTTCAATTTATTATGAGTGAAAAAATTATACATTTAAATACACAAAAATTTAAATTAATAAATATAAGATAAAATGAGAAAATAATTTTTTACAAATACTATCTTGTTTATATTTTAAATCAAGATTAACTAAAAAAAATTATTATATTTTGAATTGGAAGGAGTAAAATATTTTTGACAAAAATAAAGTTTGATGGATGATGTTCATTCCAATGTTAACTCTCATTATTTTATCCTTAAATAAATTTATTTCCTCTCTCATTAATAAGTACTATTTTTAAAAGTTTATAAAAAATAAAAATTATGAAATATATTTAATAAAATTAATTGAAAGTATGTATAGTTTTGTAAAAAAAACTTATAAATTAGAATGGATAATAATTACAAAAATATAAATTTTTCAAGAAATTAAATTTCGTTTAACTTTTCCCAACGCACATGCGCGCATTTCAATAGGTTGCAAGCGCAAATTCGATGCGTGAAAGTGCGATTGTAGGGATATAGTGGGACCCGGTTCACGCTTTGTGTGGTGGCGGTACTGTGCTCCGCTCCCCATCCTTTTAAAAATATTTTATCTTCTCCCGCCATCTCTCGTTAAAATCAATGTTACATTCTTTCTCCAATCATAGTATAAATTATTACTTTTTTTATTTAAAAAATACAAAATATTTTTAAGTAAATCTCACTTTTACTAAAATAATTATTTATTTTTAAATTAATTTTATTTTTTTATATTTATCTCTATTAAACACTTTATAATAAATATAAAATTATTAATCATATGAGTATTTTAAAAATAATAATAATTACACAAAAGACTAAAAATATTTTATATTTTGAATATCCAACTCCTCAAAAAATATTTTATATTTTTTAATAGAGGGAGTATTAATTAATTTATATTTAAAAATAATAATAATAATTTTGATTTTTTTAAAAAATTCTCATATCTGTCTAATCATATTCTTAGATAGAATACATATGGTTTATTTAAAATACACTTATAAACTACTTGAGCATAGTATAATTGGAAAATTGTATAGAAAATATCCTATATAAAACTTAAAAAAGGTCTTATAATATTAAATTGAGAGAGTAAAGAATATAAGTTTTCTTTAATTTATAATATTTTTAAGGGAAAAAATAGAAACGGCATTAATTTTTAAACAATTCTAACTATACAATTAGCTTTTGTCGATATGAGTAAACGACTTATGTTAAGCAAGAGTAGTGAGGCTTTTGTGATTCAAATTCCCTTGCTTCGTTAATATCGTAGTTTTGTCTTGAAGGGATTGAGGGATTAGGATCAGATATTTACGGATGCATTTGTTTTCTCTCTTGGACTTTTGGAAGCATGTGAGCAAAATCTCTACAAGACAAAAGGGTCTTTGTTTTTTTTATTTTTTCCTGACCTTGATTTTGATGAGGGTATGGAATGGTTGAGACTTGAGAGCTATAATTGGACGAGCATCATGAAACCATCCAATGTACACATTAATTGGCGCGCACCGTAAAATTGACCCCCCACGGCTCTTCTCTTCTCAGTGATGGATGCAATTAATGTAAACCACCAATGAAAATGGGACTTCGTGAAGGTTCGTGCATGGTTGATTACAGATCGGGAATGGTGATTGCGATCTCCAACACCGAGAACGAGGATTCCAACTCAATATCAATGCAACGGGTTGGGATTTTGGGGATTACACTCACTCCCCTCATGTATTATTTATATGTATTATTTATAAAGTAAACGAAGAAGAATTTTTTTTTAACCCTATATAAGTTATCTCGTTAAATTTTTATAATAAAAATTTTTATTTAATTTTTATTCAATATTTAAAAATATATATTATTAAAATATGTATATTTAATAAAAGTAAAGTTAAAAAATTATTAAATTTATAAATAAAATTAATGAGTTTTAATATTCTTCTAAATTTTGATGACACATTTAAAAATACCTTATACATAAAATTAGAAGAGTCAAGTCACAGTGAAAATATTTTATTTAAGTGAAATTCTAGCAAATTTTGAGATGTAAAGTAAGTTCTTAGATTTTTAACTAATATTTTCATATAATGTAACTTGTTTTCAATATTAAAATTAAAAAAGTGAGTTGCAAATTTAATAATAAAGATGAAGATGAAAATTTATTGATATTTTAAATAGAGTTAATAAAATTTAATATTTTTTTAAATATGATCAAGAAGAGTAAAATTACTCTCATTCCTAACACCCATCTCCCACATCTCCTCGGCTTGCTTTATAATTAGAAAAAATATAATTATAGTTAATTCTGTTTATTGATCTTGATAACAGCTGTTAAACAGTGCTCAATGAGATCATTCCCAAACAATGGAGTATTCCATTTGATCCTATCTCATCCCCTTTATTTTATTTCATTAGTGACATTTTGTTCCATTTGATCATAAATTATCGATCACTTTTTAGGTTTTAAAAGAATTAAATATATTAATGAAAGTTAATCTCCAACCTTTAAGAAAATAAATAAATTACAAATATTAATTTAAATAATTATAAATTTAGAAGTCTTCATTATAAAAAATGTTTAAGTTCTAATCATAATTCTTTAATTTATAAATGTAATTCTTCTTGTGATTATCCCAATAAGATACTTTGTAACGCTTTTATTTTTTTGTTGGAAAAAAAAAAACAAAAGCGGAGACGTGCATGTCATCACTTAAATTTTTGGGAGGATGGCACTTAGGCTTCTTATAAACAAAATAATCACATTGCAAGCCCTTTCAATTATAAAATAATTGTCAAATCTCAAGGGCTTTTCTTACAAACAAATTGTTTGCTGAAAAGACAAACAAGCACTCCTTCCATCCTTATATGTATCAATAAAATTGTTATTTAGTTAAAATCTCATTTAATCACGTTAATTTTTCAATTTTGTTCCTAATAATATCAATATCATGACTATAGTTCTTCCTTTTTTTTTAAAATAAAGGCAAAATTATCTAATTACTTAAATATCATGGCATTCCTTATATTTAAGGATAAAATAAATTTCTAAAAATACTCTATATATGGAGATGAATGGAGTATAGATTCACATATTTATAATAATAAGTTTACATATTCGCTAATTGTGAATCTAGACTTTGTGTTGAGTATATTGTTGTAAATATGCAATGCTGAAGTTGTAAATATGTGAACATATAATTGTGAATATGTGAACATATATTAATAAATACTACTCTAATTTTATTTATAAGTCATTTTCAACATATTTCATTAATATTGAAGAAAATTTTAAAATTCATTAACTCTATCTTAAAATTTAATAAGTTCTCAACTTTACCCTTATTAAATATATAGCTTCAATAATATATTTTCTTTTTTCAACATTTAATAGAGAGTAAAAAAGAAAATTTATGATAAAAATTTAATTACGTAACTTATAAATAGGATTAAAAAAATTACTTTCTCTTTACCTTATAAATAGGATCAAAGAAAGTATGTAAACCTATTATTGTGAATATATGAACATCTACTTATGAATAAATAAATATTTAGTAGTAAATACATGAACATATACTTAAAAACCAGGGGCATTCTGATCTTTTAAGTGAAAATTTTATTTGCAAAGATGGGTCTTGAGCTTGGACAATTATTTTAGAACTAAAAGGGCCTACAATATAATTATTTCAATTCTGAAACTTTAAATGCGCTTGTTCCTAAATTTTTAATGACTTAAATGTCACTCTCTTTTTCTTGAGTAGTGAATGTGTAAACGACAAGGAGGATCATGACTTCACGTGCCTGGCGCCAAGAAGGGGCAATTTCGTTGGTACCCATGGATGCACGCACGACGGGGCCCACGCATGCGTGGCACCTTTACGGTTAGACACGTGGTGCGTTGAAGCTGGGAGGCAAAAGTTTTAAAGCTTTGTAAGCATTGGTCCAATTATGATCTCCAGGGTTAAAATGGTCAATTTATGACACTGGGCTTTAGCCACACTTAAGCCCAAATCTATTGCAGTTCACTCCATCTCCAGTTCAACCTGATGGCTAGGGCCGAGAATAAAGGTCAGGTTTAAAGGTCTTGTTTAAATAAGAGTTCGAATTTTAAAAATAATTTTTTTAAAAGTAATCGGGGTTGAGGGCTTGGTCCTGATAAGCCCTGTAAAAAAAGGCTCAGACTCGAGTAGTCCTTCAAGCCCTGTTATATTATTATTATTATTATTTTCTTTGGTGGAACACGTGTTTGAAGCCAATGACCTACTCACCTGATCCTACACACATTATGTTATTATTAATTTTAATTTATTCTAGAATTAATTTAATATAATTTAATAAATATCAGTGTATAATATAAAATTCCTGATATTTTTTATTTTTCTATAATTATTATGTTTGTGTATTTATAAAAAATAAATTATTTTTTAATCAAGATTTAAATTTTATTACTAGACTTCTAAATGTGTGTTGTTTATTTTTTTAAAAATTATGAGAATTTTATTTTTTTAATTTCAGAATATTTTAATTAATTTATAATGTTTAATTTTATTTTTACTATTTTTATTTTTTTGAAAAAGGGCTTGCGAGCTTGGCTCTGAACCCTTCACATAAGGGCTGGGATTGAGAAATGGGGTTCAAAATAGAGAATCGGGCCCGTCTGTATTTTCAGCTCTACTGATAGCCTTCCTCAACCTCCAATAACTGTAGATTCCAAACTCCAAAACTATTTTCTCAATATTATTTATTTTTTTTGGCCCCTCCTTCTTCTACTGACTTCCATCTTTTAATCGTGATAAAAATTTAACGTTAATAACACGCTTTTCTAAACAGATACTAACATGATAAAAATATAATGTAACAACATCTTCAAACTTGATGAAAAATTGGACACATTTTTTTTTTTTGGAAGAATTTGACGTGGGTGGTGATATGCTATCAGAGTTAATCGAAAAAATATATAAATATAATATTTATATGGGTTGTAACATGCGCACCTTTTATTTTTATTTTTATTTTTATTTTTTAGAATAAACTACTCAAATTATATATGAATATTATGCATTGGATTAAGTGATAGCAAGCACAGACAGTAGAAAGAAGAAAGCATAACATTGCAGAGGTGGCATGGATGAGGATTGCAGTTATGGCCTAAACATGAGATTGTGTGAAATGAATTACAATGGACACGAAATGGAAATATGGCGACAACACATATGTGTATGCATTGCCACTTTGCTCATTACATCAATTGCTAGCTCTAAACTTCTGGCTTTCAAATAAAGGAAAAGCTGGCCAATTTATAAATTAATTAACACCATAACTTTATATTTGTTCTTATATTATGAGATGCTACTTATGGACCAGATACTCATATGAGCAAATCTGCGGCTTCACGGAACCAAAAGAGTGCATTTATTTTCAAAACATCGTTTTCTTGCGCCTGCCCTATTGTCTCTTCCCTGACAGCAACCTCGCTCAAGCTCTAATAATATCTCTCCCTCCCTCCCTCCCTCCCTCCCTCTCTCTCTCTATATATATATGCACTAAGCGCATAAATTACATTCAAGAAGTACAAGGCTATCAGATGGAGAGGGTGAGTAGAGTGAGACTGAGAGACATGGTGGAGGCATCAAGCATATTGGTATCAGTAATGGCAGTGATAACGGTGGTTAGATGGGTATGGAACCTGGTGAAGTGGGTGTGACTGAACCCTAAGAGGCTGGAGAGAGAGCTCAGACAGCAAGGCCTTCAAGCCAATCCTTACCGATTTTGGGTCGGTGACTTGGGGAAAATGGTTGAGATTCAAGAGAATGCCAAATCCTTAACCTTGCCGCCTCATTCTCATGATCTTGTTCCTCGTATTTCCCCCTTTGTCCACCACACAGTCACCAAATATGGTGTGCTAGCTTCCTCTCTCTCTCTCTCTATATATATATATATATATATAAGTTGCTGATGGAAACGATCAATTAATGTGCAGGGAAGAATTCATTCATGTGGTTTGGACCGACACCGAGGTTGATCCTTACAAATCCAGAACAGATAAAGGAGGTGTTCAACAAGTACTATAACTTCACAAGACGTCACACGAGTCCTCTTATGAAATATTTAGGCCCTGGATTCGGCAAACATGAGGGCGACCTGTGGGCTAAACAGAGAAAGATGATCAATCCAGCTTTCAGTTTTGATAAACTCAAGGTTTCTTAATTGAAATTAATCATTGTATATACACTAACAGATGTATGGATATCACTGTCAATTAGTCACTCGATTCTGTTATCTAACTATATTTTGCTGACAAGATCGAGTGCCATTTTGTTAATTGTGGCCACAAACTTTCATACCAATATTTGCCCAAAGTTGCAACAACATGATAAGAGAATGGGAAAAAATGTTGAGTTTGTCAGATGATGGAACATGGGAAGTGGATGTATGGCCTTGGTTTATGAGTATGTCACGTGATGTGATTTCTCGAGCAGCAGTTGGACGCAGCTACAAAGAAGGCAGACAAATATTCCAGCTTCTATCAGAGCAAACCGAACTTGTCATGTATCACTTGGACAGATATTACCTTCCATTTTGGAGGTAGTTAACATGAACTTGGCCAGTGTGTGAAACTCTATCAATGTACACAATATTACTTATAAAGTGACTTTGCAGGCTTGTATACAGTAAGGATAGAAGAAGGATGGAGGAAATTGATAGAACTGTGAATGAATCATTGAAGGGCATTATCAAGAAGAAGGAGAAAGCCATGAAGGCTGGTGAAGCCGTAAAGAATGATGTGATGGGGATACTTTTGGAATTCAATAATGAAAACAGGGGTACTGTTGGGTTGAGTATGAAGGATTTGATTGAGGAATGCAAGTTGTTCTATTTTGCAGGACAAGAAACCACTTCGACTTTGCTTGCTTGGACCATCATGTTGTTGAGTAGGCACCCTGACTGGCAAACACGTGCTAGGGAAGAAGTCTTGCAAGTCTTTGGCAACCAAACACCAGATTTTGATGGCTTAACTCGCCTCACCATTGTTAAGTATCATCTCTAATTCCATGTACTGTAATGTTCTAATTATCTTCTTGTGTCTGCTGTTTAAACTTCATCGCGTCTAATTAGATGAGAGGTGAGAATGACGTTTAAGGATATCATATCAATATTATTTACATTTAAGGATCATGAAATTTTGAAATTTCAAAAAAAGAACCATAGTTCTTAACTAGAATTTAAAAAAATCTGAGTTGATTTTTTCAATACCCATCTTCTGCATTTTAGTATTCAAATTTTCAATACATATCTTAAATATTTTCAATACTCATATTCAATGTCTATTTTCAATATTGAGTTTAAAATTATATGAAAATGAATATTGAAAATATTTAATTAAGGTGACTTTGGAAGATTATTGCTGAAAAAATATGGAAGAGATGAACGCTGAAAAAATTCAATCAGAAAAATTTTAATCACAAATAATTAAGGACTATGGTCTATTTCTTAAATTTTATGATTATAAAGGCTATAATTATAATTAATGTACACTGAAGGTCTTTAAATATTAACTCCCTGGATCTGATTGTCAAGAGAAGCGACAAACTGATTTTGCCAGTACAGGTGAACATGATCTTGCACGAGGCTTTGAGGTTATACCCACCGGGAACATATATAGACCGATTAGTTGAGAAGGACGTGAAACTTGGGAATTTATCAGTACCAGCAGGAGTGCAAGTTTTCATACCAGTTCTGATGCTTCATCATGATCAGGAGATGTGGGGGAGTGATGCCAAGGAGTTCAATCCAGGGAGGTTTTCCGAGGGAATCTCAAAGGCGGGGAAAGGCAATTCCATTGCATATTTTCCATTTGGATGGGGCCCTCGAATTTGCATTGGACAAATCTTTGCTTTGTTAGAGGCTAAGATGACTCTCTCTCTCATTCTGCAACGCTTTTGGTTTGAGCTTTCTCCCTCCTATTCTCATGCTCCTTCCCTTGTTCTAGCTCTCAGGCCAAAACATGGAGTTCATGTCTTTCTACACAAACTCAAATAATAAATTTGTAATTTGGTGACTCAATGTCTTGAATAAAGAGAGGGGAAGACTTTCAAGAGTGTTTTTTTTCCCAGTTTACAACAAAATAGTAAATATGTAAGGAATTTTAAAGTATTAATAACTCTTTTAAAGTAAGGACCCTTTCATTACATATGCATTTACGAGCAACATGCAGCAAATACTCTGTCTAATTTTAAATAGGCTAAAGAATATTTTTAATTCTTTAATTTTATATAAGGTTTTAATTTAGTTATTTAATTTTGTAAAGTATTTTTTAATCCTTTGACTCTAATATCATTAGTTTTAAATGATTATTTATCGTGTCAATCATTATTATTTTAAAAAAATTAAACTTAATATGTCAACTATTTGAGAATACTTTTTTAATATTTAAAAGTTTAATGTAAAAATTTGGAGGGATAAAATTAACAGTGTTATAGTAAAGAATTAAAAAGACACTTTATAAAATTAAAAAAATAAAATAAAATATTTTATAAAGTTAAAAGATTAAATGTGTATTTTAATCTTTTTTTGTGCTAAAAAATGTGTATTTTAACCTTTTAAATATCTTTTTAAAACTTGTAACCCACGCATTGATTTTTTTTTTTTTTTACAAATGCCCCAAATTAATGATTCTGAATTACGTACTGCTCCCAATTCAATGGAGAGCATATATAATTGAAATAATATAATTACAATGTATCAAATATGAGCTCATTGATTATGACAATTTAGATCAAAATAAGACTCGCAAAAAATCCTCATATATTTAATAACAATGGAAGTAAATAAATAAATTTCTTACAATAACGTCATCTTAAAAAAGAAGATAATCATAAAATTAGAACAATTATATTTCTAGACCTATTAGATTTTGGCTCCTCATCTAATTAAAGGTTTTTATAAAATAAATAGTGTAGATACATAAAAATAACAGCAAGATTTAAAAATGGTATAGGACTGTAGGAGATTGAACTCGATAATTGATGGCTCAAGTATATATCAATGGTTGGATCATGGTTGAGTCGTATTTTAATTAAGTTAATATATTTCTGGTTTTATAGGTTAAATATAACCTTAGAGGTAATATTTTATAAAAATATTATTTTACAAAAGTTAAAATAATTTTTTTCTTGTTATTAAATATAATTTTTCTAGATATAAAAATGGGAAGGCAAAGAAGATGAAGGTTTCCCTCTTTTCAATTTAGTGAAAATACTATTAGTCTTCATAAATGTAATTTAAGAAAAATTAATAAATATTTTAGAATATAAAAATGAAAAATAATTATGTGATGTAACATTTATATAATTTGTATAATTAATAAAATTACAGTTCTATAATTTATATACATAATATTTCAATTCTTGCACATTTTCTTCATTGATTTTCTATCAATTCTAGACCCTAGTTTGACACTCAACACATACCAGACCAGACACAAGGCTAGTTCAATCCTTTTTTTTTTTTTTTAACATTGCATAAAAGTGATGAATTCCTTTTAAGCTATTTACTTTTAACACAGAATGGGCGAAATCGAGCTTGTTTAATTTTTCTGGTTCTTTTTTTCCCATCATTATATTCTTCTGCTTACTTCATTCTTTTAATTGTGATTAATGTTTAATTTTAATATGATAATTTCCTAAAATTATGGATATTATATATGTATTGAATTGTGTGATCGAACATGCTACATATGGAAAGAAAAGCAGAAAATTTGCAGAGGTGGCATGATTGAGGATTGCAGTTATGGGCTAAACAAGCGATTGTGTGAAATGAATCTACAATGAACACAAAATAGATATGTATTGGATCTTTGCTTATTACATCATTTGTTCTAACTTCTGGGCTTCTGGCTTTAAAAAATACTGGAAAAAGTTTGCCCACTTTTCAATTTACACCATAACTAATAAATATTAAGATATTAAAATTGAACTTTAATAGTTTAAATAAAAATTTTGTTCCGAACATTGAGAACTATACCAAAAAAAATAAAAAATGATATGAATAATTTAAAATAGGAGTTGAGTCTAGCAAAATGAGCTAGTTTCTTACACTGTAATAAATTAATATTTGAATTTTAATTAAGAAAAGTATCTATATTTAATATCTGACTATACCTTGAATGATATTATTTCTCATAGATAAACAACTGTACAAAATTAATAAAATAAAAAATATTTTTATTTATAATTTTAATTTTTTTAATATAGTTTTGAACTGTTTAGACCAAAATTTATATATGAACTGTTTAAATTAAATTTTAATAAGTTAATCTGTTCATATTTAATTTTAACATCTTAATATTTATTTATATATTAAATATTAAAATAATAATTTTATAATATTTATTTATTATTAGTATAATAAATTTGTACTTTAAAAAAGTTAAAAAAAAATACTGCCAAACAGCAGTGTTTTGATGCTGAGCATCGAAACCGATTCCTAAATGCAGAGAGTAAGGAATCTGCAAAGTATCTTTAGCTAGAGGCATAATAATATAAAATATTTTTAATATTTCAAGATATACTTCATTTAATTTTTATTATAACATACTTTCAATCATTTCGCACATTTTAAAAAAATTAATTTTTTAATATTATCAAAAATTGAGATATATTTTTATTTTTATCCTTCTCTAGTAAAATTAAAAAAAGTGATTTAATTATTATAAAGTATCCTCTATTTTGAACTAAAAATTACTTTTAGAAGATATATTATAAATAAGATCAAAGGGAGTACTTAATATATTTTTTTATAAAAAAAATTATATTTAAGTCTCACGTAAGGAAATTTATTATCAAAAAATCTCATGAAATTTATAAAATATTCTCAAGTCTTAAATCCTGTGTATTTACAATTTGATTAAGGCATTGAAAGCTTGGCAATAGTCATTTTGTTAATATCTTTAGTCAAGTTGTAAATGTGTAGGATTTAAATTTTAAAAGTATTTTGTGAATTTTATGGGATTTCTTGATAATAAATTTTCTTATGTGGGACCTAAACATAATTTTTTCTTTTTTATATGATGCCATATCACTTTATATTTATTTAAAAATAAAATATTCTATTAAATAAGGATAAATATGAAAAGATGGTATTAGTTGAAAGACAATTCATTACTTTCTTGGTGGGCAAGAATTGAATAAAAATGCATTACATTTTTTAACGGATATTGCACTTGGCAATATAGTGCATCTTTTAGAATCTTCCTTGATTGTAGGATGTTAATTACTTTAATTCTATTTATAAATTACTTTCAATATATTTTATTGAAATTAAAAAAAAACCTTAAATCTCATTAACTCTATTTTAAAATTTACTAAGTTTTTACCTCTACTTCTAGTAAAGACAAAGAGATTTATTTTTAATAATTTTTTTAATATTTAATAAGGACAAAAAATAAAGATGACTTAGAAAATAGTGAAGTGCTCTATAAATAGGACTAAAATTAATCTTGTCTCTCTATTTTATAAATAAGACCAAATAAATATTTTTAATAATGTCCATTTTTTACCTTTATTTATCTTCAAATAAGACTTCAAAAATTATTGCTGTTCGCAAGGCTAGCTGATAGATTTCTCCAACAGAGATATATGACTTATCTCTTTGCAATGTATTGATTGCTCTGTGCAACTCTAGCTAGAGTTCCTCTGGTATCCTATATTTGATGAAAATATGTAAAACTTTTGAAAATAAATTAATGTCAAACAAAGATTTAAATGGATTGCATACTTGTTTAAACTTGAATTTCACTTGTTAATTATTAATATTTACTTGTTTCAAGTTCTTGTCAAATATTAAATTCTTTTAAACATCATTTAATAATATTCTCCTAAGTTATTATCATCATACTCCCTCTGTTTCTATATATAAGAGAAATTACTAACTTTTTTGTTTGTATTTATAAGCAAATTCACATATCTCAATGAGCATTTATCACAATTTTTTTAAATTACCCCTCATAAACTCATAATTTTCATTCATGATAAACAATTAATGCAGCCTTATTTTTATTAAATATAATAATATTTTAATTTATTTTTTTATTTTTAGATAAAATTATTATAGTTAATTAATTTCTTAAAATATATAATACAGTTATTATATATATAGAAACGGAGGTAGTATATTAGAGGGATGGAGTGATGTCTTTCTTTTTTCTCTCTCTTCTTTTCCCTCTATTTTTTCCCTCTTCACCCTTCATTAATTTTATAATTAAAAAATTATTTAATAAGATGATATGAATAGTGCAGGAAAATGAGAGAAAAAAATGGAGAGCCTCCTCTCCTTATGTTAGAGTCTAGGAAAAATAAATGTGCAGAACATTGAATGATTTTCATGATGCTCATATCTCAATGTTGCTCATTTCCCCATGTACTAAGTATTACTCCCTCTGTTTTAAATTATAGGATACTTTTAAAGGAATTTTTTCGTCCCAACATATAAGACACTTTGAGTAGATTAAGATTTCATTAAATTTACCAATTAAAATATTACCCTTTCTCTTTTTACAATTAATTTCCGTCCCTTCTCTTTTCAACATATTAAATAATGAGTATTCTTGAAAGTTTATATTTTTGTTTTGAAAAGATAAGATTATTAAGTGTATTTAATGAGATTGTTGATATGCGAGATTTTATCTAAAAGTGCCTTATAATTTGGGGTGCAGAGAATATATTCCAAAACAGAACATAATGCAACAGTAACTATCAAATCCCAAGTCCCAACGCACGCATTAACTGTGTAGCCATTGCAAATAAATGCAACCATAAAATTAAATGGCAACAAGTTTGGCATAAAATGTTTCATTTATTTAGTCTCCATTTCATCCCTTCCTGAGACTCCGACCTGTCTATATATATGCACATACTAATTTCATGTAAGCACGCACTACAGAAGCAGACGGTGAGACAGACAGTAAGAGGAAGAATGTTGGAAGCATCAACAATAGTGGCATCATTAGTGGCAGCGATAATTGTAGTGAGATGGGCATGGAAGATGATGAGGTGGCTGTGGCTGAACCCTAAGAGGGTTGAGAAGGTGCTTAGAGAGCAAGGTCTTGAAGCCAATCCTTACAGGTTAGGGATTGGTGACTTGAGGGAAATGGTTAAGATGATTGAAGAAACCAGATCCAAGCCCATGATGTCTCTTTCTCATGATATAGCTCCTCATCTCTTATCTTTTGTCCTTCACACTCTCAACAAATATGGTCTCTCTCTCCCCCCCTCTTCCCCCTCTCTTAGAGCTGCTTTGATTGGTACGTGAGTGACGATTAATTAATGTGCAGGGAAAAATGCATTCATATGGTTTGGACCGACACCAAGGTTGATCGTAGTGAAGCCGGAGCAGATCAAGGATGTCTTGAACAGGCCCTATGACTTCACAAAACATCACCTGAATCCTCTTATCAGCTACATAAACACTGGTCTTGCAAAACATGATGGCGACAAGTGGGCTAAACACAGAAGGATCATCAATCCTGCTTTCCATTTGGATAGTCTCAAGGTTCATTCTTTTCTAGTTACCATCTGCTTATATAACTAATTATTATCAGGCTTTGCATTAATTCACCTTGAAATTTGAAATGGTTTTTCAAGTTATGCATGTCAAATATCTAAACGTCGAAACTTGATCAATGAGGCCCATGCATGTACGGTTCCGTTCTTGTCATCATTCCAGCTCGCAAAATATACATGCATCATGCATGTACGTGCTGATATATAGTTTTGAGTTTCATTTTCTTTATTCTGATACAGGCTATGATGCCGAAATTTTTCCAAAGTTGCAATGACATGATACGAGAATGGGAAAAAAAGTTGTCTTCATCAGATGGAACGTGTGAACTGGATGTATGGCCTTGGCTTACAAATATGACACAGGATGTTATCTCTCGAGTAGCATTTGGAAGTAGCTACCAAGAAGGCCAACAAATATTTGAACTTCTCATAGAGCAAGCGGAACTTGTCATGACTACTTACCAGAAATATCATATTCCATTTTGGAAGTAAAGAATTATATATATATATATATATATAAATCAATATCACAAACTCGTTTTGAATTACGGAATTGATATATACCTATCAATATTTATATCTCTTATCGAATCAACTTGCAGGTTTGTACACGGCAAGGACCTTAGGAGGATTAAGGAGATGGATCAAATGGTGGAAGACTTGGTGAAGGGTATAATCGACAAGAAGGAGAAAGCCCTGAAGGCAGGTGAATCCATAAGGAAGGACCTGTTGGGCATACTTTTAGAATCCAATCACAAGGAGACAGAAATCATAGGAAAGCACAACAAAGTTGGATTGAGTATGAAAGAAATAGTCGAGGACTGCAAGTTGTTCTATTTTGGAGGGCATGCAACCACCTCGTCTTTGCTTGCTTGGACCATGATGCTGTTAAGTATTTACCCTGATTGGCAAACGCGTGCAAGGGAAGAAGTCTTCCAAGTCTTTGGAAATCAAAACCCAAATTATGATGGGCTAAGTCACCTCAAGATCGTCAGTATCAACCATCTGTAGTCCTTTATTCGATAAAACAAACACAATATATATACATGTATATTATCTTTGCGTGATTTGACATACAGGTTTAATTAGAAACTAGCTTACTCATGAATAAATATAATTTTTCCACGACAGGTGAGCATGATCTTATCCGAAGTTTTTAGGTTATATCCACCAGTAACATGGATAGAGCGATCAGTGGAGAAGGACATGAGGCTTGGGAATTTATTAGTACCTAAAGGAGTGCAAATTTTCATACCAACATTGATACTTCATCAAGACCAAGAGTTGTGGGGCAGTGACGCCAAGGAGTTCAACCCAGAGAGGTTTTCTGAAGGAATCTCAAAGGCAGGGAAAGGTGATTCCGTTGCATATTTCCCGTTTGGATGGGGTCCTCGTATTTGCATTGGACAAAATTTCACCATGTTGGAGGCTAAGATGGCTCTTTCTTTGATTCTGCAACACTTTTGGTTTCAACTTTCTCCAGCATATTCTCATTCTCCTTTCATCCGAATGACTCTTCAGCCACAACATGGAGTTCATGTCATTCTACACAAACTTGATTAATAAATAATCATCCGCATATCATTCTATGTAATGACGTGCGGGTTAATTTGTTGCATTTTTATCAAGTTCTGAATAGTTCAAAAATAAATTACTCCCAATCGTTTTTTTTTTTGGGTAATTACTTCCAGTCTTTATACATTTGGACTTTATCTATAATGCTCAATATAAGAGGATTTCTATAATCTGAAATTGATTCTGTAAATTTCTTGAAGTTTGCCTTTTCAAATTACAAAAAGCATATTTTATAAAAAATAATAAAATGAGAAAAAATTACAAAACAAAAAAAGAAAACTTCACGTATCAATTTTAAATGTATAAGACAGTTAGTTTGAATATATATACTTTACTTTAGTACTCGTCCTCGCTCAACCAGCTAAATAATTTCCTAATGAACTAAATAGCCTCACCTTACTAATAATTTTTGTTTTAAAATTTTGAGCATGTTCCCATTTTTAATCTATATAAATTTTTAATAAGTCATTATAATAAAATAGGGTGCTTGAATATGTTTAAAATCTACATGCCTGTGCCTTTTTTTGGATTTGAATTTGGTAATGGGTGTCTCAAATAATCAATATTTGAAAATTAGCAAAGTACATTTTCCTTCAAAAATTCAAAACAATTCTCATGATTATCAAAACACCCATCACATATATTGTTCCCTTAAAAAATTTAAGATTTAATACTTTTTAATATTATGTGACAAAATCTCTTATAGCCATTTTATTAAATTGAAAAATTGTTATTGTATGCCACATGAGACGCTCATTAAGTGGACTTGCTTCTTCTTTCACTCTCAAGTTCAAGGATTTATAGCCCCAACCCCTTAAAAAATTAGAATAATACATAAAATAGTTTAGAAATTAGAGCAAGAACCACGTTATATGTAGCACGCTTCATTGGTTGTCTCTACAAGTTTTGTTTTTTTAAAAATGACCGCCCCAATAAGCTCACATATAATTATTGGAGTGATTATGAGAAGACAATTTATTATTGTGCATGTACATTGATAGAATGATAATTTAAGCTTGATCCCATACATTCAAGAGATCGTTTTCAAAAATTTGTCATTTTGTCCATCTGAATTCACGTACATTGACATGTTAAATATTATTCCCTCCATTCAAAAATAAAAGGTATTTTTAACTGAATCTCACCCCTAATAAAGTGATCACTTACTTTCCAACTAATCTTATCTTTTCATATTTACCTTTATTAAACACCTTATAATAAATATAAATTCATTATCAATAGGAGCATTTTAAAAAAAAAGTAATGATTACACCTTAAAAGACTAAAAACGCTTTAATTTTTGAACATCTAACTCATAAAAAAATGCCTTATATTTTTTAACAGAGGGAGTATATTAAAGGAGACATTTTATAAAATGTTATTTTCCTTATAAAAGGAAATTAATCATGTATTTTTAAAATTATTCTAAACTTTTTAATATTCAAGAGCACATATTCATTATATAAAAAAATGACATCTCATTAAGTATTTTTAGAAGGCTAATCAGAACTAAAATAAAAATATTAAGTTTGAAAAAAAATAAATAAAAAATTAGAAATATAGAGTTTATATATTTATGCTTAAATTAAAAAAATAAGATTTAAAAAAATCATCAAATACCAGATAAAAAATATAAGAAAAAAAATGATGAACAAGAGAAAAAAATGAAAAAATTGAGAGGTGCAAATTGCAAAGTCCCACGTTGAGTATGTGGGAGGAGGAGTAAGTAGAGATAGCTTGGCATTCGCATTCGGTGCTCATCGCCTTGATGAGCACCGAGCGGTCATCACACTTGGCTAAATCACGGCCTTTGATTTTTTTATGAAATGATTTCTACCATTCATTTTAAATTACTTTTTAAATATTTTAAATATTATATTTATTAATATAAAAATTATAAAAATTTTGATATTAAATTTGAACTGTCTAGAGTATATTTATATGATATAAAAAATTTTAATATTAAATTGAATTATTTAAGTTATAGTTGAACTCTTCAGAGTACATCTGGATAGTGGATAATCCAGATCTCATCAAATATTATGAGTATGATAGTTTTCATTCTTGGATGAGTATGAAAGACAGTCTAAATTTAATATCAAGATTTTTTATAATTTTTATATTCATAAATATAATATTTAAAATATTTAAAAATTAATTTAAAGTGATCAGTTGAGATCATTTTAGAATAAAGTCAAAGGCCTTGATTTAGCCATGTAACGATGGGTGCTTGATGCTCATCAACGCGATGAGCACTGAATGCAAATTCAATAGCTTGGGGGACGTCTCTAGTGTGCCTGCATGTCACGGTTGAGTTGTAATATATTAAAATTATAATTCATGGCCAAAGTGGTAACGTTGTAATTTTAATTTCCTCTTCCTTTTTTTTAATTTTTTTATTTGGTTCAGTTTTGGCGTTGAATTAATCCGATTCTGACTGGTTTTTTCTACCAGGACAACCAAATTTCTATTGAAAAGGACATGAAACTTGGGATTTGAGGATTTATTGGCGCTGGAGGATTGCAAATTTTCATACCAGCCCTTATACTTCACCCTGTTTTATTTTCCACAGGCTTTTTAATTGGGCTTTAAGCTGAGTAATTATTCGGCTTCAATCAAACCATCTATGAGTAAAATATAATCAGCCCAATTGAATTCTAGGCTTCCTTATATTGTAGGACTACTGTAAAGGTTAACTAGATTTCCATTTTTACATGTGAGAGAGGGTGTGTATTTACCTTAATAAGATGAGTTAGAAATGAGGAACGATTATCTGGAAACATGAAAGAAAACGAATGGACAAAGAGCAAAGAAATAATATATTTTAACTCAAAACTTAAAGATTTAAGTTTTTAAGTTATTTTCTTTTATTATATTTTAATTATTAAGTTTAACTTTATCTTATATAAGACTTTTTACATCTATCCAAATCCACTAACACAAGGATATCATAACAATCTCTTTAGCTCAAATGTGAGTTCACGAGTTTTTGTATCAAAGACAATTTAAATATCAAATCCATATTTTTGCAATTAGGGTCATCCAAATTTTCAGACTTCAAACAGTATGACATGCACACAAATTCTTGTCACTTCAACTAGGATTAGTCTCATTTTGAATTTAAGACGTGTGCATAATAAAGGCTTCCAAATACTGACATAACTTGGCTAATCCATATCTTAGTTCAAAAAATTATAATATGAAGATGCAATACTGCACTTTTTCGTGCCATAGATAACATCTAAGAAGTTTTATTTTAGTTTTTATTTTTAAAAATAATTAAACTGCTTAAAATGTGAATAGCCTATGGGATTGCGTAACAGAATAGAACATGTAAAGAAAAGCAGAAAATTGCAGAGTCAGCATGGATAAAGATTGCTCTCATTGACTAAACATAAGATTATGGAAATGAATCAAAATGGACACAAAATAGATATATGGCTCCAAACACGAATGTGTTGTGTGTGTGTGTGTGTGTGTAATATTGACATTTCAATTGCACCCTGAAATTGACAGTTCAACAACCGTGGCCGGGTTTTCAATGATGGATTAATTAAAGTTAGCCAATTGTTGAATTAATGCCATAATTTTTATATTTCTTATAGATAGATCCCAATTATACATACATAATACTCGTATTGGCAATTTTGAAGCTTCACGGAACCAAAAAGTTGCGCATATATATTTTGAAGGTCGCATAGGCTTCCTAAATAACATGCATTTAGGGAGAAAATGAAGACAGGATAAATGTGAGGAAACGGAGTATACTTTGAATTTGATTCACATTTTTATCTTTTATATCTTTTTTTAAATGTTTATGTTGTGCATTATTGCAAAACTTTTCTATAACAATTTTCCCTCTTAATTTGATATATGCTATTTTTATCATATTGATTTTATATATCTAATGATGTTGAGCTAAGATTTTTAATTAATTTGAGGATGCGGTAAACTCTAACATGTATTCTAGTGTAATTACCGTCTTTTCTTTTCACTTTGAATTTATAATGAGTTATTTTAATTGTGTGAAAATTTTGAATAACTTACATAAGCTTGGAAAAGATCAGCTATATATAAGGAGTGGGTCATGAATTAGATAACTTGAATTTATTAATAAACTCGCAGTTTTTGTGTGGAAATAACCTATTGATAATTTAATTTTTATTTACAAGATAAAGTGGAAGCAACCCATTGATACTTTAACTTTTATTTACAAGATAAAGTCATTCTATATTTTACCAATCTCTTTACCACCTGATTCGCTCAGAGAACATACATTAACGGAAGCTCATATCACTCTCTCATTCACACACACAGACGCACACAGTTTTACTGTTCCGTGAGACTCCACTCAGCCTATATATATGCACTACTCTACTTTCGAGTGTCATATAAACACAAGACAAGAAGACATGGAGACACAGAGAGTGAGAGAAATGTTGGAAGCAACAACGTTAGTGGTTTCAATAGTGGCAGCGATAATAATAGTGAGATGGGGATGGAAAATGGTGAAGTGGTTGTGGCTGAACCCTAAGAGGCTGGAGAGGGTGCTGAGAGAGCAAGGCCTTCAAGCCAATCCTTACAAGTTCTGGGTTGGCGACTTAAGGGAAATGATGAAGATGCATGAAGAAGCCAGATCCATGCCCATGATGTCCCTGTCGCATGATCTGTCTCCTCGTCTCTTCGCCTTTGTCCTCCACGTACTCCACAAATATGGTGTCCTTCAATTTTCCTGTCTTTCTTCTGATTTTGTTCTCTTTTGATCTGCAATCTCTAATTTTACTATATATCACTGTGATTGATTCATAGCTATGGTGATGAGTGACAATTAACGTACTGCGTGCAGGTAAAAATTCATTCCTGTGGTTTGGACCGACACCGAGGTTAATAGTAACGAGCCCAGAGCAGATTAAGGAAGTCTTAAGCAAGCCTTATGACTACTCAAAACATAACTTGAATCCTCTTACCAAGTACGTATCCCCTGGCATCGTAAAACTTGAGGGAGAAAAGTGGGCTAAACACAGAAAGATCATCGGTCTAGCTCTCAACTTGGATAAACTCAAGGTAATTACCAACATTAATTATACTTCTAACAATGCTCAAGGGACAAGGATCCCTCTGAACTGGTGAAATAAGAGCAGTAAACTTCTTTTTATGTTATGTTATTCACTTTGGTTTATTGATTAAGAAAAAAGTCACCCCTCACTCATAAGTATTGTTTTTATATATAACTGTCTGTATACATATAAGCTTAATTAATGTAAACATCATAATGCCGAACGCTTGAAATTTGGAATGAAATGATTGAACATTTGACAGGTCAGGTCAAGTACAGAGAAAGAGCATATGGGAATAGATCTTTTAAAGTTGAGAATCTGTAAATTTCATGAAATTTGATTTTTTTAAGAAAGAAAGAAAAATTATGTTGTATAAAAACTAATAAAATGAGAGAAAAAAAATTAAAAAATCACTGAAATTAATAATCTCAAACTTAGACTATTTATTCTTATCTCTACACAATATAATCAAACAATTCATTCATCTTAAATGTTTATCATGTCAAAACATCAAGAGTAACTAGATTCAGGAGAGAAAACACATGCAGATGATTCCGGTTTTTTTCTCCTTGAAATTAAACTCCTACCAGTAATATTGGGTCTCTTTAATGTTACGCTAATAATGTTGACCGTCACTTTCTTTATTTTCCAGACTATGACGGAAACCTTTTTCCAATGTTGCGATGACATGGCACGAAAATGGGAAAAAATGTTGTCGTCATCAAATGGAAAATGTGAAGTGGATGTTTGTCCTTCGCTCATGAACTTGACACAGGATGTTATTTCCCGGGCAGCTTTTGGAAGTAGCTATGAAGAAGGCAAACAAATCTTCGACCTCCTAACAGAGCAAGCTGAACTTGTCGCGACTCATTTACAAAGATATCACATTCCATTTTGGAGGTAACATTAAAATATAATCAGACTTGATCTTGCATATATTGTGAGATTGGTAAACAGATACATGCGCAATCTTGGAGAGTCGTGTGGGAATGCTGTTGAATGGATTTTTCTTTTTATTATATACTATGCATTAAGCTTTACTTTATCTTATATGATACGTACTTGTCACATCAGCTTAAATTTACTCACACAGACAACCTAACATTATTGAATCAATTTTAAAGGTTTGTACACGCTAAGGACTTTAGGAGGATTAAGGAGATTGATAGAATGGTGGAAGACTTTGTGAAGGGTATCATCAAGAAGAAGGAGAAAGCCCTGAAGGCAGGTGAAGCTATAAAGAATCACTTGCTTGGCATGCTTCTTGAATCCAATCACAAGGAGATTGAAAGCCAACGAAAGCACAACAATGCTGGGTTGATGAGCATGAAAGATGTAATCGATGAATGCAAATTTTTCTACTTTGGAGGCCAAGCAACCACTTCGTCTTTGCTTGCTTGGACCATGATGCTGTTGAGTAGGTACACTGATTGGCAAACACGTGCAAGAGAAGAAGTCTTACAAGTCTTTGGGAATCAAAAACCAAACTTTGATGGGTTAAATCGCCTCAAGATTGTAAGTATCATCTATGTCTACTGTCTACTGATTCTTTACTTGATAAAATAGACAAAATACACGCACACATGCAAAACAGCAAAAGCAAGTGTGTGTGTTGTTCTAATTGTATAGGGAAAATTACAATCCAGGACTATTGAAAAAATTTATTATTTTATAAGATCAAATAATTCTAATATTACTCTGTAGGACCAAATGTCTTAATTGTAATTAAAAGTTATTGTGAAAAAGCTTATACTCTTTAACAACAAGTTCCCATTTGGGAAAAGCAAGTCAATTCCAAAAAATTAATTTGGTGGTGAAAAAGAAGTATTGTAATTTGGTGAACAAGTTCTCATTTCTTAAAAAAATAAATCCCATTTTTATTTTAACAACAATTAATTTTTTCATTAAAAACTCGAAAATATTAACTTTGTGGTAGAGAGAAAGTGTTATAATATGATGAATAAGTCTTTATTTATAAAAAAAATCTTGTTTTATTTTAACAACAATAAATTCTCCCATCACAACAAATATATATACATAAGGGGTATTTTTTTCACAATAAATTTTAATTACATTTAGGTATTTTAGTCATATAAAGTAATATCAAAATTATTTGATTCTGTAGAGCAATTAATTTTGTCCAGTAGTCCTTGATTTTGATTTTCCCAATTTTATATATGGTCTCCCTTAATCCTAATAATAGGATATTAACGAAAAATATTGAAACTACAATTTTAGATCCCATCGAAGAATTCTTCAATGCTAATAATTAATCCAATCATTTAAAAAAATTAAACTTAATATTTTACCATTTAAAATTGTAATATCAACATTTTTCAATAACGAGACTAGCTAGCAGCGTTAGAATTTGAGGAATAACAAATATTGTATAAAATTAAAATAAGATCAAATTAAAATTTTATGTAAAGTTTGAAGACCAAATAGACACTTCTTTTTAATCAAAAGATGGGGCAATGCCCAGATTCCTTTATTTAACTAAAAATAGAACAAGGTCCACAAAAACCCCTTGCGTCTGGATTCAACCATTGAATGAGCTCCAAAGGAGGTTCCTTCAAACTACATATACACTTTTACACACACACACACACACACACACACACACACACACACACACACACACACACATGTTATATTTGTGTGATTTGTCATGAATGTTTAATAGTATTATGAAGATTTGATTGTCACATTTAGTTAAATTCAGAAAAAGAGCTTCTTGGGGAAAAAGCCAACATATATATAGCTGATTTTGAACCCAGACAGTGGCTTACTAATGAATGAACCATATATGATTTTGACACTACACAGATGACCATGATCTTATACGAGGTTTTGAGGTTATACCCACCAGCAACATGGCTAGAGCGATCATGTGAGAAGGACATGAAACTTGGGAATATATTAGTACCAAGAGGAGTGAACATTTTCATACCAACGTTGATTCTTCAACAAGACCAAGAGATATGGGGTAGCGATGCCAAGGAGTTCAATCCAGAGAGGTTTTCTGAAGGAATTTCAAAGGCAGGAAAAGGTGATTCCGTTGTATATTTCCCGTTTGGATGGGGTGCTCGAATTTGCATAGGACAAAACTTCACCTTGTTGGAAGCTAAGATGGCATTTTCATTGATTCTGCAACGCTTTTGGTTTGAGCTTTCTCCTTCATATTCTCATGCTCCTCTTCTCCGGATGACTCTCCAGCCACAACATGGAGTTCATGTCATTCTACACAAACTTGCATAATAAATTTATCACCTGGGGTGTGTCTGGATATATAGATATGTAATATATTTTGAGAGAGGAAAAATGTTACAAGCTTTTTGTCAGTTTAATTATAAAAAAATATTAAATAATCTGCACTTTAGTTTTACAGATCAGCTAGTACACAAGTATCAAAAGACTATGTAAGAAATTATTGTAGTTTGAAGTTTTAACTTTAGCATTATATATATGTATGAGTGTGGGCACCCTCACATAATTAGCCAAAATTGTCGTGTTATATTTTTGACTCATTTCTAGTTAATTTTTTGCATTTTTTTGTCAAGTTCTGAATAGTTCAAAAAATTACTCCCAATCTTTATTATATGAACTTTATCGATAGTCCTTAACATTCTTATATCAAGCATTAACTAACTTTGACTAAATAATTTTTTTTATTAACTATATAACCTCATCTAACTGAGGAATTTTATTGGGGGTAATTTTATTCTAAAATTTTAAAAACATTAACTAATTTAAACTAAGTTTCTTAGTATAAAATTGCTAATAAGTTTTTACAATAAAATAAGATATGGATTAATATGCAACAAATTTGTTATATTATAAATAATTACTACAACAACAACAAGAATAAGAATAAGAATAATTAATAAATGCATGCTTTCACCAACATGCATTATTACAATAGTTTTACTTAGGTTCAATTGGTAAGGATTTAACTTATAATTCATAAAATTTTGAATCAAAACATGAGAATCTCGTTGAATTTGTAGGCAATTCGCAAGTATCTTACAAGCACTCAAAACTTTTTGGGCATGTTGACTTTGACCCTGATGAGCTATTAAAAACTCAACTCACCTAATTTGTTTTGAAAAAAATATTACAATAAGTTAGAGTAAGAATTGAGAAATTCTTGCATTCACCATGAGCATCACCTAATCTATGCTCTATCCAATCAAATTTTACCACTCTGTGTTGCCAAGCGTTAAGGTGCTCATCACTCAGAAAAGATTTGGGCCATCTAGATAATTTGGATGGCCTAGATTTTTTTAATTTCAATTTCAATTTTAATTTTAATTTTTTAAAAATAAAAATATATAAATTTTTTGAATAAATATAGTCACAATCAATCTGTACAATATTGATTTAATCTAGGATTCTCGATGGTTCAATTTAATATTATAATTTTTATAAATTAACTATCTACATATACTTTAGATAAGTGAGATTCAACATTAAATTTTTTAATAATTTTTTATTTTAATAAATATAAAATTAAAAACTTTAAATCTAGACCTTGTAGATAAAAAATTAATATTAAATATGGATTGTCTAGAGTACATTTTAGATAGCCAGTTCATGAAAATTATAATATAAAATTGAACCACCCAAAATTTTTATTAGAAAATTTTATAAATTTTCATTTTTATAAATATAAATTAAAATTAAAATTTAAAAAATATAGACCATTCAGATTTATATTTTTTCCTGAGAGATGAGTACGTCACTGCTGACGAGCACCAAAGACGGATGAAGAAAACTGGCTCGTCTGATCTTTCAGAACTGAAGCTAACGGCGTCTGTATGTGCACGACCTCGACCTGCGTCACCGTCGGCTCTTCTCCGTTCTTGTGGGTTTTCTCTTCGTCGTCCCTTTCCTTCTCTCTACCGATCGATATCTGTGTGTGTATAATCGATGGGTGCATGTGTGCTCCGATGAGACTAAATACCTACGGTCAATCTGATCATATAATTTGTTTTTGATCTCCTGTTCATTTCTTCCGCATTCCTCATTCTTTTTTATCTGAACCTAGTTGGAAACTTTCATTGACATGAACTTAGAATTTGTTATTGCTGTGTGTTTCTTTCCTTTTTTTTTTTTTAATCCAATTGTTTTGTGTTTCTTCTTAAAAAAAAAATTGTTGTGTGTGTTTCTTTTCAGTAGTCAGCTAACAGTCTTCGTAGGGGAAAGCCAAGATAAAAAATAATAATAAAATAATTAATTTTAATTATAAATTAGTATAAATATTAGTTCACCAAAGATATTTGTATAAATAAGTAAAAATAGAAAAATTATGCAGACTTGACGTGATTATTGAAATAGGTTTAATCGAGTTCAAATTAATGTATATTTTAATGATATATAATAATTATATATTCAAGGGAGTTAAACAAATTGTTGCTGTATTAATTTGATATATGCATATAAACAACATATTAGAAGTTAGAAAGAGTGTCGTGTAATAATAATAATAAAAAAAAAAGAAGTTAGAACGAGTGTCATATCATGCAATTTGGCTTAAAAGGAAAAACTAATTTATACAAGGAATAATTAATTAAAAAAATAAAACTAACATAGAACGATATGATAGTAAATTAATTAGTTAATACCTTTCTTTTCTCTTAAACTAAACAAATGATTACTATTAAAATTTTCCTCCCCTCCCCTCTATCAAAACCAAATAAGTAGGGCCATGTGAAGATATTTCGAGACCTAATGCAAAATTATTAGTAAAACTTAACATGTGTAATTATCCCTTAAAAAAAAATGCACTCATCATTTTTTACAAAATTATATATTAAAATTTTATAATATAGTGATTCTAATAAAATACTGAATTAATTCAATAGTTAAATGAAAATTAGTGTTAACAAAGTGTTCCTATCCTATCTTATATATTGGGATAGAATATTAACAATGATATGGGATGGCAATACATTTTTAATAAAAAGATATAGTTAAGACTAATAATATCAATGATTAATATGAAAAACTAATAATAATTATAAAAATTATAAATAAGATTTTTAATAAAGCTTAAAGGTGTCATGTTGATAGTTTGAAACTACACAAAGTCTTAATACTAATAATTATCAATGTTTTAGACTTTAAAATCAGAAAAGGAGAAAATAAAAAGTGAGATCGTGAGAGGAATTTACCATAAGCTAATATAGTGCAAATTAGTATATTATGAATTTTATTATTTTTTTTTATAGATAATGAACTCAGCTCAATAATTAATGTTATAATGAGAATGATTATAACTTTTCAACTGAAAAGAAATCAATATTTTTTATTCTCTTTCACGTACAATTAAATACATAATAATATAAATATCAATTAGATACATACATACATATATATATATATATATATATAAAATAGGGGCGTTAATTTTTTTTCTTTTGAGGCCTCCACGGCCTTGCAAACAAGGTAATTAAAAATAGTCCCCTCCCCTCCTTTGAAGTTTGAACCAAACTCAAATGATATAGAATAGTAATGTAAGCTTAATCCCATGCAGCCCGCAAGATTGTTTTGATTATTAAATATCATTTTGCCCATCTCAAATAATTAAGGTTACTAACAATTTTTTTAATGTATAAAGAAGCAAGTCGAACAACTTAAAAGTAAGTAAGATCAGACTTCATAGTAATTTATATACGTAAGGTATAATCTTATGAACAAAATACAGACACTATAAATGTAGTAATACGAAAACATCTTCAATCTGGATGGCAATTTCCACACTTTTTTTTAAAGAAATTGTTGGATGGAGCAATCATCGTTAATATATATATATATATATATATATTAACCATATATAAATGTGGTACTTTTAGTTCTGTAAGGTATGAAATTTTATTTTTACAAATAAACTGCTAAAAATATGAATGGCTTGGTTTGGATTATTGCCTAATTTAACAGAATATGTAAAAAAGAAAAAAAAACGTAAAATTGAAGAATCAGCATCGATCAGGATTCAGGATATTGTACTTATATATGGAACTAAACATAATATTGTGGTGGGAAATGAATTAAAATATTGAACACAATATTGGAAATATGGCGACAACACGTATGTGTAAATTGGCACTTTGCTCATTTAAATCAATTGTTCTAGAATTCTGGCTTTTCAGTAATTGAAAAAGTAGAGTTAGCCAAAATTTTCAATTACCACCATAAATTTTATATTTCTCATAAGATACCACTTATGGACTGGCTATTTATGAAGGAAAGTTTGTAGCTTGACGGAACCGAGATGTTTCATTATTATTTCCAAGGTAGTAGGCATCGTAATATATACGCATTTAAGGGAAATTGAAGGGAAAATAAATGTCAGGAAAAATAGAAATAAATTTTATACACATTTTCACACACACACACACACACACACACTCTCTCTCTCTCTCTCTCTCTCTCTCTCTCTCAAATAATTAATGCTTGTACATTTTTTTGTTGTTGCAAAATTTCTTTCTAATTTTCTCTACCTTCTTTCGTATGATTTGATATATGCTACGATTGTTAATTTGAGGTTGCTATAAACTAACACATATTGTATTACACGTAATAACTTTTCTACTTTTATTGTGATTTGACTTGTTATTTGTTCAATCTTTGCTCTTTATGCTTTATATCGTGTGACATTTCTAGATAATTTGAATAGCTTAAAGAAACTTGGAAAATAGCTATAATCAGGACTTGCAATTGTAATGGTAATTTTAGTGAAAATGACGGATACTTTATCTAATATTACATTACTTGTACAGTAAACTTGTAATCGTAATTGTAATTTTGGTGAAATAAATGATTGATACTTTATCTAATATTACATAACTTGTACAATAAATTCATTCTATATATTATTAATCTCTCTAGCTCATATTCATGGAGAACAATGGATCTATGCTCATTGCGCTCACACCTACGCACACTGTCTATATATATATATATATATATATATGCACATATTAATTTCATGCAAGCACGTACGAGAGAAGCAGCAGATGGTGAGACTTAGAGTAAGAGAAATATTGGAAGCATCAACCTTAGTGGCATCAATTTTGACAGTAGTGATAATAATTATAATTAATTTTGTTTCATTAATCTTGATGACAATTATCAAATGGTGGTCAAATATCCCTAAAACTCCCAAATAATGAAGCAGTCCTTCCATTCCATCAGTGATATTTTGTTCCATTCCATGCTAAACTCTCAAACACTTTTTTAGGTTCTAAAAAAGAGAATTAAAAAAATATATTGTGAATATTAATTTAAATAACTGTAAAAATTAAGAAGTCTCGCTCGCTAACAAAACCTTTAAGTTCTAAAATCTAATTAACTATTTTTTTTTTTTAAAAAATCTCTATGTAACTGTCATTAATTAATTAAATTTTTTACAACTTAAATGTCCTTCACTTTAATTTAACGTGTGATGGACCTTTTTATATTTATTCCTTTTTAGAATAAACTACTATAATTATGAATATTATGTATTGAATTGCGTGATATATAG